AAAAGCCCAGCTATGCTGGAGAGAGTTCTTCAGCAGGCAGTAACTGAACTGCACAAGAGGAGCATCCCCTGTTTGTGAAGCCTTTCTGGTCCATGCAGTGGTGTGCTGCTGGAATAGTGGGGCAATTGACAGATCTCATCTTCTGCAAAGATGAGAAAAAACAGACAGTTCCTGAGTGAAGGAGGAGAGAAGCTGCTCTTATCTACTTCTCAGTGTCTCCAACCATTTGGTCATCCCTCTTTCACTTCTTGTGAGGCATATCAGCATTCACGCAGAACCCAGCTTGGCAACCTGCAGAGATTCCCATTGATTTTAATGAGCTTTTGAGTAAGTCCAAGTTTGACTCAAGTGTTTCCAAGCATTTTTTGCCTGGAGTGAGGTCTCATCTCCTGTTGCATTAGGGATTTGCCACTTTTCAGTTCTGTATACATGAAGTCTGGTATCTTGCCTTCCAGAAACTGAATTTTCTGTTGTCTGTTTGCATTCCTAGGAAAAGATGTCATTCTCGAAAGCACTCAGCAGTTCCTCATTGATCGTCAGTCCATCTTTGGAAATGACCTCATCAGCTTGCCTGAAAGCTCATCACTTTATGTTCCATCTGAAAATATGGCTTCCTACCTGTCCTCTGTGGGTGCCCAAGGGGATATCCCATTAAACCTGAGCTCTTCAACCGACAACAACCAGTGATTTAGCTTCCAAGAAACAACATCTCCCTCCCACCCATCCAAGCATCCACAGGTTTGAATGTAAGGAAACAAAAGTGACTCAGAAACCCACAAGAAAGTTTATTTTTGTGCCCTTTCTTTTTGAGTAGCTGTTGCATTACACTCCCTGCACCTGGATTTCGGTGTTTGCCCAGGGTAACAATTTTAAAACAAAACACTGCTTTTGGTGCTTGCTCCTATGGGGAATGAGAACTTGGCAGGATTTTTTTTTTCTTGAAAATGCATTTAGAAATTTCAAATCTTCTAATAAAATTTAAATGAACAGTAGCTTGAAAGAACATCAGGGTCTTCATAAAATACAGTGATCCTGACTAGTGTCTGCAATGGCAAACTGTGGGATTTTATTGGGGCAGCACAGATTTGTTAAGATGTCTGAGCCCTCTGGATGTGTTTTTAAGTAAGAATGCCAGTCCAATGCTCTAAAACTATTCTTTTATACACTTTCTGTTTCTGATGGGGTGTACTTGTGCATTTCCTTTATCATCCTCTGGTGAGTAGGAAAATGAAGATCTTTCAGGGTATGCATAAGATCATTTTCTGAGTGACTACTCCAAGAATGTGTCTCTGGCTCCTAGGGAGCTACAGACCATCACAGACCCCAAAATATCTCATGCTGAGTTGAGAGGGTTTGTTCTCTGGGATTTTTTTTTTCCCCAAAATTTATTTTCTCTAACATAAAGGCAGGGCAACCCATGCTTTAAAAAAAAAAAAATATATATATATATATAGACACTCTACACACACACTTTGCCACATGCAAAGAGGACTGTGGGAGCGCACTCTGGGTTTTGGTGCTGGCTAAGTATTCCATGTCCAGTCCAATGATTTTTTTTCCTTGGCCTTGACCTGTTCTATTCCCCATGAAGATGTGCCTGTTAGTTTATTGATGTATAAAATCTGATGAACCAGTTAGTTTGATTGATTGGATCCCCTTTTTAGAAGGACTCTCAGCTGCTTAGTGTAGGAGAGAAGCAGAAGGGTTAGTCCACCATGTCCCACAAACTTTTCTTCTGTCCTTTGTGCATCTGAGACCAGCCTCCAAAGGTTGAATTAATATTCCTCTTCCCTGTGGTTTCTGACAACTGAGTTTCTCAACAAAGCAGAGCTTTGTTTTTTATGCTGTAGTTCTAATGAGAATGTACTATTTATCTCAGTATCCTCTGAGTTGCTTTTCCTTAGGAAAGCTACCCAAATACAGTAAGACAGACCCAGGAAATTCTACTAACTCAGGCCTCCTGAGGGCCTAGACAGGAAGGTATAAGCTGTGCCAGTATCATTTGAAGAAATGCTCTGCCCACTTTCATTGCCATGATGATTCTTGGTTCTAAACCAGATTTCTGAGCATCTTAAATGGTCAAGCAGCATCCACTCCAAAATGTAGTCAATCATGCAGATGAATGCAGGCTCAAATTCTCCTTAAGATGAGCATGTTTTAAATGGACCTTCCTGTCACAGCCCTTTCCTCCATCCATTTATCAGTATGTGAACAGATGTATTAGTTCAGAAACATTAACTTCTGAGCACATTTTTCCCCAGCTAATTACTGTGTGCTGGGAGCTCTGTCACCACCTCAGTGGTGCGGTCTTTGCAGAAGCAAGGTTGTGAGAGCTTCTGAATTAATTCCAGCCACTGTTTGCATGTTCAGGACTAAGGGAAAATCCTGGCAGCCCCCATTGGCCTGGTATTTAGATGATGTGCTTGAGTGTATCATGGACAAGGTTTTCCTTTTGGACAGATTTGTGCTTAGAAAGGTCACCTAGATCAGCCCATTTGCCACTGTATTTTGTCATTTCCAGCGATGGAACATCGTTGAGTTGCACTCTGTTTACTTCTTTTCTCATAACGGGAAACTGTCTGGTGTCTCCTATCACCCGACAGCATATGTTATCCCTGTTCAGGATTTACATCCTTCTCTGAACCTTCGCACGCTAGATTGCCTTAATGTTAACACTGAATGTATTGATCCAATAAGGTATTTAAGCACAAGCTTAACTTCAAGCTCTTGAGTAGTTTTCCCGTATTTTTGTGACGCCTATCACATGCTTGAGGTTAGACATATGCTTCAGTGTCTTACTGGATTGTCTAGTTGGGGTTGAGAAATGAACTGTCTTAGGAGAGCTGCTTGCAAGTAGACAAAGGTGCAGCTCAGCCAGCAAGGCTGCCTGACACCATCTCAGGCTGCAGCGTTTGTTACAGTGCCAAGCAGCAGGCTGCACTTGCTGTGAGCAGCCACTCGGGATGGGTTTTGGGTTTTTCTTTAGGCTTTTTGCTCAACTATAAACGTGAGTTTGGAGCTTGTTGGTGAGAGAGGAATCTCCAGGAACAGTATTCGAGAGCCGCTCCTGTGAAGAAGGAAGCTTGTGTTCCTTGGCTTTTTACACTGTTAATTTTACTTGAAGGTGATGTGCTGAGACTGCGTTTTTGCACTATGCTGTACATTTGTAAAGTTTTACAGAAAACACTAATTAAACATGTTTCCTTTTTCTCATTTAGTCCTACTCTGGCCTTTCTGTCACTCCTTTCGCCTACCCCTTACTCCTTTCCTGGTTCCCAAGTCCTCACTGACAAGTGAAAACAGTTTCCAGGAATTCAGGAGATCCACCTGTGAGATAATGTAGGGATCGCTGATGGGCTTTGATGACCTGTGTGAAAAAACAGGGGCTGGAGAGATCTGGCATGTAAAACGTGGCACAGTCAACACAGCTCAGAAAACAGCTGAATTCTTCAGTCTAAAATGCTGGTCAGGGTGGGTACAGCTGGTAAAATCAGGATCAGAGTAAAAGAATCTATAGTTCTTGAAATTACTTCCATTTTTAGCTGTTGATTATCCTTTTTTTTCTTGCTTTCAGTGATAAAGAGTGCAAACTTCACTCTTGGAATTACTTTTTAAAATCTTTTGTTTATAAATATTTTTTCTTTGTGTGATGTGATAATATGGTCCTTCCTGCTTATTTGTTCTTAGTGTAGTAAGGGGGTACCAGCACAGGCACTAAAACACACAGCACAGTAAATGCACAACCCAAAGCATTCAAAGTAGTCCTTATCCAGCTTTCTGTCAGAAAAAGGAAGCAGGAATTTTTTAGGACTGAGCTCACAAATGTTTTAGCAGCATTTGTGGCTTTCTAAAGAGAAGATTCCCATGAAGATGCTTTCAGACAAGCCTGTTCTCCACAGGCCTCTGCGCATTCTCCTGCACTGTCCTGGAGGCCAAGGATTTTAGCAGCATGTTTTCACTCATGGAAGGTGGAAAATGGCTGAAGTTTAAATCAATTGTGTTTTCTTCCCTGAGGGCTTTTATGATTATTTCATGTTATGATTAGGACTAGTTCTCTTACCACCAGATGGCACTTAAGCCCAGCTACTTGGAAATACAGCTTTTCAACGCGCTCAGTACTTGTTTTCTTTAACTGTGCACATCTCTAAGATCTATTCAATTCTATTTACTACAAATCACTAGAGATCTACAGAAATATGAAAACAGACATCCTAAACAGGTATGGAATAATGAAGTGAGGTCACCTAAAGCCTAGCTTGTTCCTGATGTTGCAATTGTTTGATGTATCATAAAAACATCAGCCCTTGAAGATAAGGCCAACTCTTACGTTGTGCTTAAAGAGTGTACAGTTGTTTTTTTAACTGACTAGCACAGCTGCTTCTGCATTAAGTGAGAGCCGTTAATGCCTCAGCAGAATCAGGCAAGAGTTGCCTGTTTTCCCCAACTCTTCTTTTGCAGTCTCGCAGAGGAAGCACTGCTCTCAAGCAATCTTGACTTCCTTGAATTTTATTCTCTAGCTCAGAAGTGGGAGAAGGGGGAACAATAAAGGAAGGGGAGAGGACTTGGCTGAGGCATTGCTGCTGTTATCATTCATTTCACTTTGGCACAAGACTACCACTGTGGTGTAAGAGAGAAGCTAATGAAAGAAGATTCCTTTAGTCAGCTTTTTACACCAAAGCTGTCTTTCTACCACTACTGATTGGCTGGTTATTTTTCTGTTATATTCAAAATCCAAATACTGAGACGCCTCACAATGAAACATGATGCAAATGGCAGATATAACTATATGCTTCATCATAGATAGCCCTAAAAGTTAAAACCAGATTTTTCCATGCATGGATGCTGTTCCTACATCTGTTTTTTGCATAAACAATCATAGTATCTATGAATATTAGATCCATAAAATACCATGCTAAGCAGCAATCTCCATTTGTCATTGAAGTCCATCTGGTATGAGGTATACTAGGAAGGAGATGGTACAAGTTAAAATAGATGTGGTCACAAGTAGAATCTTTATTTAGTTCAAATGACAGAAACATTACATTATGCATTGAAACTATGTATCTAATAAACCCCCAAAATAGAAATGTTTAACTAAGTAATTTCTAGAAGGATGCAAAGGAAAAAAAAGTCATGAGTGTGGAATTTAACCTTAAACCAGTAGTGCCTTCACTATCAAAGCAGTGGGTGCTGCCGGCTGCCCTGAGGAGCTCAGAGCTGCTCTGGCAGCGGGAGCACAAGGCACTTGCTGCCTGTGGGTTGCAGGGGATTTACGGGCTTTTTTCATGCTGACACAACCACGAGTTCTGCCCTGCAGCCTCTGATTGACTGAAACACTAACTCCTCCTGTTGAGGGCAGTGGGGTTTATATCACAGTAAGTGTTACATCAGTTTTAACTAATGCTCCCACTGCTGAGCTCTGCATTTTGAGAATAACCACATGCAGCCAGCCAGGCGCTGTGCTCCACATTTGGTCTGTTTTTTCAAAGTGATTAATCTAATCCACTCTCCCTGTCCTTGCCATCTTGTGCTTTGTGAGGGCATCCTTCACCCTCAGACAGACACTGTACTTCTCCATCACTGCCATTCCCTGTTAAAAGCATAAAGGAAAAGGCAAATGAAACTCACTGGTCTTTAATACTGGAAAAAGAAATGTAGAGCCCAGGTTTTTTTAAGTATTTAAATAAAACTCAGTAAGAAATCCTCTGTTGAAAAAGCAAAGATAACACTTTAATTCCTAATTTACTAGGATTCCCACATAAATAAAAGGAAGAGGTGATTGTTAACTAACAGTGGACTGAATTTTTTTTTCAACAAGAGCTGAACAAATCCTTACTTTCAGTGTGTATGTGCCACCCACCTTTTTCTCTGGGATTAACTATGTCACTGTAATCTTAACCAGGGCAGGTAACTGTAATCTTACCATCCTCTTCCCCTGGGTTTGGGTCATCTGGTTGATTGAAGACTGGTGACAATAGTAGATTATCCTTGGGCTCAGTGACAACCTCTTCTATCAAGGGTTTCAAGGGGGTGTCTTGTTTATCTTTGATCTCCAGGTATCTTTCTGAATTAGCAGGCTCTGTAAAGAAGCTTTCAACAAGGGGTCTCAAGTGCTCCTTCTCATGCTCTTTATATATCTTATACACATTTGAAAAAATTGCTGTTGGAACTTCTCCTGAATTCTCAAACATGCTTTCATTGTTTTCCTCCAATGCAGAATTGCTGTCATTTGTCATTTCAGAAATTATTTCAATCTTTGGGTGATATTCCTGCTGTAAAGGTAGAAAATGTAATTGAAAATGTATCACTCTAGATGTAAAAGCTAAAAGATGGGTAAATATCTCTTGGATCCACATAACAGTGGTCAGCCTTGATGTGCTGTTCTCCCAAAATCCATGGAAGATGTGCCTCACCCATAGCTCTGCTTCTTTGTGGATGAATCTTGGGTTAACTATTTCTCAGGCATTAGCCATGAACTGACCATAAACTATTAATGGTTCATAAAAATACCTATTTCAGCAATGTGTGGGCTCAGTTCTATTTCTTTACCTCCAAATGGAGGGGCCTGACTAACGTCTTCATCTGACTTCAGTTAAGAACTGAACACTTTTGAGGCGTGACAGCTGCAAACACATGATCCTTCAATGTTCCCTTCCCTTATCTTTTAACTGGAGGCTTTGTTGGCCAAGAAATTTTCCAACACTATTATTATGAGTCTGTGACCAAAAGAGCAACTAAATTCCATGCCTTACTGACTGTAGGAAAAGTTTGCATTATCTTGAAGGGACTTGTGAAAACATGTACTGTATCAGCCTCTGTCTCCAGCCAGGCAAGTATGAGTCAACATCAGCACGACAACCAAAACTGTGCTTTTAAGATTTGTTCTTTTCCTTTTTTTCTCTTCTGTTTCTGTTTATAGGCTTTTCCTAGCAGATTAGTTTGAGCACAGCACAATCCTAATGTGGGCATGAGCTGCCATGTATCTGACTAGCCCGCAGTGGAGCAGAGGAGTTTGAACATCTCTGTGTTTTCAGTTCAAAAGTCTAATTTTATTCAGTAGCAGGCAATTTGTTCTATCTGTTCAGTCCTTTGCAGTATATTAGTACTGAGCAAGTATATTTTAAGAGTTATCTTCATTAAAACACTACATGCTACTGAGAAATTAATCTTATTTAACTGTTGCATTACTTGATCCTAGGTTTTCATTCTCCTATATTTGCAACACCATAATATAAAAAATCAAATTTAAAAAATATTTACAAATGGATAGAGAAGATCTACTGAAACATCCATTTTAGTTTATAAATGCATAACCGACTGCATCTCCCAAAACAGCATTTCACAACTTGGATTATCCTCACTTTGCAAAGTATGTTTAGGGAAACTTCATCACTGCAATTAGTAAGAATCTTACCTTTTGGACAAAGATTTCCTCTTCTGGGGGAAATTCATTTACATCTATATCTTCTAAATCAGGCAGCTCCTGAAGACAATCACAGGATCATTGATCAGTGGGAAGAGCTACTGTAACCAATAAAACATGACATCTCTATCTCATTGGGAATCGTCTTCAAAGCAAGGCTTTTCAGGGTAAGAGGCCACAGCCAGCAATACCACACTGTCATCTTCTCCTTGATGACAGTTTTCTCTGTTGAGCACATGTGGGAAAATGAAAATTCATCTGTCTCCAGAAACAGCAGATAGGAAGGCAATAACCTTAACATCAGACTGAATGCTATTTTCTCCTACTCTTAATGTCAACTGCAACCCATCTTTACAGGTAAGAGCGAAATCAAGATCGGCAGGCTACCTGAAACTGTTTATCAGTAAAATGTTAACCTAAATACATCTAATAAAACAATGTTTTACTACGAATGCCTCATAATTAAGGATATAGAACCACAAACTTGCTGAGAACTTTTTCCTCAGACAGCTCAAATCTTTTATTAGAAAATATTACCTAAGACAACTATTGCTTGCTGACATGAAGGCAAAAACAGAGGGTGGGAATACAAAATCAAAGGCAGAAAGTAATACCTTTTTGCCATTTTATTAGTGTAAGTCAATACTGGTAAAAGCATTTCCTTTTGGTTTTAGATGTTTTTAGAGCTTAATGATTTTGTAGTAAGTTGCTTGGCATGGTAGCATCAGGAAAATCTAATCTGTACTGTCTTGTGTGGTGAAGATTATTACAGAATTAAAACCAACAAAGGAAATTTCTGTTTTCTGATGTGGTTGTATCTAGTGCAGCATATCCTGAAGTCTCATAATTTTAGAACAGCATTAAAATGTACAAATTAAGATTTGAGACTAAAGTTAGTGGGTGGAATTTTAAGTCAGTAGGGAAGTGAAATAGCTGTTAGTCTTATTCCAATCAGCAGGGTGCATCTGCAAATCAAACCAAAATTGCTTACTCAAAGTTATCCTGGTTTAGGTACACAGAATGTCGTTCAAACACCCACCAAGGCATGTGCAACAACATGAGCTTGTTTCTGCTTGACAGAGGGATGTCACAACCACCGCATTACAAATCCTCCTGTATTGTCCACCCTGATCTCACTACTGATACCATCGACTGACTCCAGGATATGAAGGAAGACAACTGTGCTCCTCCAGAGCTTCTCACCATCGGCATCTTCACAGCCATCCCCTACTATGTCAGCGCTAAGTCTCTTTGGAAAATCTGCACTAGCGTAAGTATTGGAGGTGGTTGTGAGCAGCTCTTTCCATTACCTAATGTCAGTTGGAGAACAGAGTAGCAGAGAATACTAAAATGTGCAGTAGCGTGTGATTTGGGTTTTGTTTTTCTTCTGTAGAATTAGAATAGTTTAACATTTTATGTGTCAAAAAACTCCCATGCACATATGCTGAAGAGTTCCTTTTATACTATGTTAGTTTGTGCAAAGGAGCTTGATACGATGCCACATAGCACCAAGGGAAAAACAAACACTGAATCTATGAGATCTTCACACTGTGGGTACCTACAGTATCACTATTTATTTAAAGTTTTTATTTCAGACCCTGAAATATCTGCTTATAAAAATAATATTGTATACGCTTGGAATTGTTTCCAGTTCTCTCCACTATCCATGTTAAACCTTATTTTATTGTTAATGTTAATTTATTAATGTTAAATTATTAAAAACAGCTAATCAGGAGGAGGCAGCAGTAAGCCCTCTACTGAGCCCTTCAGAACAGGATGGAATATTTTCCTGAAAAATTAAAGAGTGTGGAAAAGATACAAGAGACTGTTCTAAAACATTTCCGTAAGAATTTAGTTAACAGTGACAGTATAAGGGACCAAAGAGTATATTGAGTGCTCTGGGAAATCATAGCTCAGAAGTTTGTTATTGCTAGGTATGTCAGAATCTGACACTGTCACTTTAGCGGCAGTGTTATACTTAAGACAAATTGAATAGTTCCCCTTCAACATGAGACTGTATTTTTCAGTGTCTTTTCCATGTGTATTTTCCAAGTCCTCCTCATGGTTAAATGTAGTTAAACATGTTTAAATGTTTGCGTCATCAGATACAAATCTTAGATAATAGAAGACCATATTACAAATGTCAATTGCTTATTATATACCTAAATGATGCACATTCTGCTTTTTCTGGAAATATACGTAAAAGTATATTTTGAGAATTAATTTATAATATCTAATATTGCTAGCTAACGCTTACAATGACTGGGTGGCTATTTCTTACTTATGCTTTTTCTGCAATAGTTCACATTTTTACTGTGTATTTCATTTGAGTTTTGCCTGAGGACACATGTATCCACTAGATTTCTTTTGTTGTGATTTCTGTTTTTTAAGAGAGAGCTCTCATTAACTTCTCCAGAGAAATCACAGATAGGTCTGTAGTGATTTATGGCCAAAGGACAAAATAAAGTTTGGAATAGCTGGTAAATTCTTTACACATGCTATACTGGAGAGAATTAATACCCTTACAACCTTACTTTTGGGTTTTTTTTTCTTTGTTTCCTTTTCTTACTAGTAGACCTTTCTTAGAAACATGGCCATACAGTTTTATTAGCCACATGTTACCGGAATTAATTTAGGAGCAGACAATAACTTCTCAAAATCTGAATCCAATACATACGTCAAGATAAAGTTTCTCTGGTATCTTCAGTTTGAGCTGTTCAACTTCAGCATATTCATCCAGCTCAGGAAGCATGGGCTTTTCAGTAGCTGCCTTCTCTGTTGGTAGATCTAAGGAATAAACAAGTTAGTTGCAGAGAACTAACTGAATAAAAGGCTTTCTACATTGCAACAGCAAGTACTGCAAAACCAGACTGCTGAGGACCTGACTACCACTGCAAAATTCACAGGCGAGTCCAGCGCTTTGTCTTTCCATCATATTCTCAGTCTCCCTTATACTGTATAAATTAATATTTGTGTTTTGCAATAACGTATTCCACAAATCTACAAAAGCATTCTTCCTTGTGTGAAGGCACAAAACCACCTCTAGTGACATCCAGCTTCTGTTGGCAGACAGGCCGCACAGTTTCTGTGGGAGCAGGGAAGCCTGTAAGCTCACCTGTCCTGTTGCTACACCTAGCACATACAAGAAGGGGAATTCCACCTTTCTGCAGCAGAAGTTGCAGGTTAAGCCCTCAAATTTTTTGTTTGTTTGTTGTATTTAAAGAAATTTTTATCAAGTACTACTTGATTTTCAACTAGTCACTGTGGAAATCTATTAGGATGTTCTTATCTATGAATCAGTTGGTTTGAATCAAGGCAGAGGTGGTGCTACACTAAGAGTTTGCCTCATTGTCTCTGCATCCTCAGTTCAGTTTGATTCTTCACTGTGTACATTACCGTCTGCCTTCTGGTTGAAGTTTGAGCATTTGTAAGAACTTGATTCCTGTTCATCCTCTTGAATTCTAGCAGCAATATTTCCAGATGTGAAATCTGTGTTATCGTCCCTATTTGGTAGAAGTGTTATCACTTCATCATGAGCATCAAAACTTTCATTTCTAAATTTCTCAGTCTTCTCTTGAGTTTCTCCCTCCTCTGATATAGTAGAATTTCCACCACTGCCACCTGAATTTGCAGGTTCTCCTACAGAAGAAACAAGTTCATTAAAACTGCTGAGTTAATCTACCATCCCTCATTCTAAATATCCAAACTTTACTATATGGTCTTAACAATTTGGCCTAAAATATGCATCAAAAGCTCCTACTTTGTTTGAGCAGCTATTTGTGGATCAGTAGTCCTCTCAAGATTGCAGCAATGTTGGAGGTTTTCCCAACTCAACCCCCCAGCAAAAAGCTCATCTAGAGAAAACACTATAGTAACTGTCTGGTATCTATAGTTAACTTTGAAAAGACTCACAGTGATTAGATATTTAAATATATGCTTGAGCATTTTGACAGATCAGTGACAGATGCTGAAGTCATCCTCTGCTTTATGCAATCTACCTCTTTGCAGAAGTTTTACTTCTTGATCAACTGTGCTTGACTTCAGAGCCTATGAAACCCCAAAACATATTGGATGGATAGATGAACACTCCTCTGCACTGTAGCATTATTACTTGTCTTCAGTCCTGACCCAGGCACTAGAAAGGTTAGGTTGGGACCTATTACTGGCCATAAACGTATGCCTCCTTGAATAATGTGACAGGAAAATTTGTGGCATAAAAAAGGGCAGTAAGTGAAGCAAATTATATAAGTCCTTCCTCTTGGTGCCTGTATTACCACTGCAGCAGGGTCTAGGCTGGAGCTCTTACTGGTAGTGAAAGCAGCAGTGGAGAGGTGCCTGGATGGGGACTAGCAAGGGGGTTTTCATTGAATCTTACTGGAGCTCACATGCCTATTGAAGCCAACCCTGTACTGCATTTTGGGGAAATACTGCTCTTTGGGTGTAACCGTCTGTCTCCATCCATGAAAGCCTGCTGGATAACTGGTTGCTCTGGTGAAGAGCTTGAAACAAGAGCTTGAAACACTGGGACAGGAAGCGGTTGTGAAAGTGTTTTTTTGTTTCATCAGCAATGAGAAAGGTGATGATTGCTTAAAATCATTGTGTTTAATCCAAGATGCACTAAGATTAATAAAGTATTTAGTATGGGAAAAGATTGATAAATATATTCCAAAAACTAGATCAGCCTGCTTCTGAACATTTAGGAACTATTTATTTATTTTAAACATTCAAATTGAAGCAGACATCTTCGAAAATAGTAACCACAAACCTTCTAGGATGTCTGTTGCATCTCCATTTTCACATTTTGCATCTCTTTCTTCCATATACTTTTGTCTTTTCTTTTCCTCTGCTTTTTGCCTGATTGCTGCTAAAGCATCAATGCTGTCTTGGATTTTTTTTCTCTCTCGGGTTTCCCATTTTTCCCTTTCTGCTTTCTCAGCTTCAAGCCCTCCAACTGCCCAGGCTTCTGCACAGGCTCTAATGAAAAGAAAAAAGCTCACTATAATATAGCTATAAAAGCCCATCCTTATAACGAGAGAGAAATTTAAAATATTTTGCAACAACACAAAACAACTGCGAAAGAAAAAAACATATAGCAGTGACAATCTCTTATGCAACAGGGATGCACATATATCTTATCCTGTATGCAGAACTGCAACAAAAGAAACAAAGATATCCAAATTCTGGTGATTCCACCACCAGAGATCGGCCAAGACTGCTGATCTTGGCTCTGCTTTTCCAGACACCTGTTTAGTTTCTCTTGAAATTGGGATTTGCCTCTGGTCTACAGACTTGGCGCAAAACTTCTGTTCAATAATTAATTCTCTTGTGAAAAAATACATGTTTTCTTCTAGGTATGTTGGATGTAGAACTCCATAGTACTTGGAGTACTCAAAGTCATCCACCCTCAATAAATTATACCAGTTATTCTTCCTTTCCTTCCATGGCAATACTGACAAAAAATGGACTTTATTGCTGTGTAAAGAAGATGGCTCTGTTTCTTACCTATCCTTTGGGAAAACTGGTCTGTCATCCAGATATGTTAGTAGTTTTAGTCGAACAGTAAGTGTTTTTCTATAATTAGTAATTTTCTTTATCACTTGGTTTCCCATCAAATTCAGCACACGCTAGAGAAACAAGGGAAACAATTTTTAAAGTTAAGTAGCAAAAAACCACAATCTGGATATGCACTTGCTCTATCATTTCAAGAACAATAAGTAAATAAAACATCCTGGGTGTTATAGTCTACAAAAACCAATGTTTAATAATATTTCTTTTAGACCATGACCTGTTGTGCACTGAACTACCCACCACCGTAGTTTGTCAGGTCCCATTTAATGGGATTCACTCATATACATGATACAAACCCTCAGGTATATTCAGCTTACCAAATTGGGCATGGCCTCCAGAATATTTATAACTCTTGGATCGCTTAGATTGTTGTGAGAAAGGTCGAGAACAGAAATACTTGGGCATTCTTGCAAGTGCTGTATGTCTTCCACTGTTTGTAACTTATTGTGAGCAATCTGCAGAGTCTGCAGGACTTTCAGACAAGCTGTCAGACAAGAACAGTACAGTGAAAGGAAAGGTAAGAGTCATCGCTTCTGGAGCAAGTAGAAAACTGCATTGTCAAAATAGTTGTTTATGTTGAATTGAGAATTTTTTTCCTGTATTTGTTATTCTGATACATGCACTTTTTGGTGCATGTATCAGAATAACAGCAGCTGCTTTCTTCACCCTCAGGAAAAATAGTTGATTGGTTTTAGGATGGTGGTTGTTTTTAATTTACATTTCAAACTGATCAGTTACACAAAGGCAAGACTTTATGTTTCACATTAGAACCAATGTACACAAACGGTAGAGAAATTAATTTTTATTTTCTGCTGAAGATGGAATAAATCCTTTAACAGACATAAAAGACTTTGTAATCACGTCTGCAACTGCCAAAGCACATCTTAACTGTAAAGTAAATGGTGAAAATGGGATTGTCAGCCTGTTGGCAACACTAAGTACTGAGATGGTATTAAGAAGTGAGGAAAAACTACTTCAATGTCCTAGGTATCCATGTGAAAGTAATTACTATGTCTTCTCTGTTTTGTCACCTATTTAAATTGCAAAATACATAGGTCTGACTCTTCAATAGAAGCCTTGTGGACTTTGGTATGGGATACTGTACAAAATTTTAACAGGAATAAAACCCCCCTTTGAAACTAGCACCATTAATAATAGCTTAGCTTCGTCAAAGCTTAGGAATATGGGCTCATTATAGGTTAAAACATGCTGCACCAACAGTTCTTACAGAGATTCTCAATGGTCTTTATGTAGTTGTTACTGATATTGAGGGAATCCAGCTTTTGTAAGGGTTCAAGGTTTTCAATTTTGTTAATTAAATTGAGTTGCAAGTAGAGGCAACGCAACTCTGTCAGAGCTTCCAAATTCTCAATTTTTGTTAAGCCGTTGCATTCCAGCCATAAACACTTCAATCCAGTATACTCTTCAAGATTCTCCAGGCGGTCAAATCCTGCAGAAAAAGATGTTTTAAAATGAAATTGCACTGGCTGAAAACAAGTCTTTGGAAGAGTAAATTTCATTAAACCAGTGCTGCTGAAACAGCCTGTGAGAACACTTGCACTCAAGTTGCTGCTACTTCCACTGCCTGGCCCTTAAAGGGCAAAAACATACAGGTACTGGTCTATATCTTGTGCAGCCCTTTAGATGCTCAAATACATTTTTGAGAAAATAGCAAAACCAAGTCCAAATGTAGGAGGCAGATTTAGCATGTCCTATTTATTTAAAACAATTCTTATGCTAAGCTGAACTAGCTAACTATTGTGCAAAAACCTTGAAGATCCCAAGAGAATGATCCATGTTCATTCTAACAACTTCTTTTTCTTTCAGTTGTTTTTGAGAACATGCAAGTGTTTACTGTTTTCTTCCTGTCCATTTTTGTCTGGCAGTTAGAAAGTCCCGAAAGCTGAAAAACAGCTTCTTTATATGAGTACATTTAAGAAGAAATACATATATTTTCCTCTGAATGCAACCCAGACCAGAATTTTAAGACATTTCTCAGAGGCGACTGTTTTTTTTTGGGAAAAAAAAAACCAGTGTCCCCTGGTTCCTACTGATTCTTTGAATGACACTACAAATTGGATTTGCTCTATAACCAATTCATTTTTCTACCTTCATATTTACTCAGTTTGTTTCACAATTTTATTAGCATATAAAATTAAAATACATTTCTAATTTAAAAGAATTATTAGATACCCTACTTCAGTGAGCCATAAAATAGATTCTCAGCTAAAATGCTACTTTGAAAGGTAAATCTAAGCAGTTATGTCCACATCTTACCTTTATAATGCAAGTAAAGCGTATCATTTAAGTATGGGGTCCAATATAATTTCTGCTGTTTACAGATGTCTTTCAGAATCGTTTTTGTCATTCTAAAATAATAACGGGAAGCAGAAGCAAAACAAAAAATGTATTTCAGTGCATATTCTGAAATCTTTGGGTTTTTAACAGATTTCAATGCCACACAATTGATAGTTCTTTTATGCAAGAGAAACAGCTATAGCTTTACAAGTCTATACTCCAAATAAAAAAGCAGTAGTTTCTTTAGAGTGACTTTCCATTTCTGCCTGTTTGAAGTGAGTTACCAGGCTCTTCTGCTAAAAAACACAGAGTATGTAGGAAAGTGGGTAGGGAATGACAGAGTCCATCTGCTTGGAAAAGAGCAGGATGATTCTATGTTAGATGCTGTTTCCTTCCTCTCCAATTCTTTCCTCCATTCCTTGCTGCTTTGGTGCAGGACCTTTGGTGGCATTGTCAATATGCAACATTTTTCTCAGAGTAGAAAAAAATCAATAGTTGTCAACCTAATATTTTCATGAAACGCTGACTCTGAAACAGCACTTGACAATTTTAATATAGAACTGTGATTGGCTAGGACACGCAGTAAGAAAACGAGTAATACCTGTTCAACTGTAATATTCAGCTCCACTCCTTTTGGGATTTATGAAAGCAAGAAGCAAGAAAAGTCTACTCAGGGAAGCTGTGGGGTACAGCTGAACAGTGCAGGGGCAGAGGACTCGGCAAGAGTCATTGGTCAGAAAGCTACAGTGGGGAGGCTGCAGGGACAAAGCCCTCGGGCTGGCAGCCAGCAGCAGCCAAACGAGATCCAAGTTGCAGTCAGCATGACAGTAAAGCCCCGGACGCAGTGAGTAAGTATACTGGTGGCCTTCAAACTGTTAAACCAGAAATGGATTGCAGTGAAGAGCGGCCGATGGGAGGAGTTACACCATTATCTGGGCCCCTGCGTTAGACAGCACTGGATTGACAGTTTCATAGAGTTGGTAGTCGCCTAGCAGGGAATTTGCAAAGAATGACAGGACACTGGTTTTGGAGGCAAGGTCTCCAGGGCTACAAGAAATGTTGTAACATAGACAAGCAACTTGAGAACCCATCAGCAAAACACCTAGCAAAAACATTACAAGGCAGAAAATATCTCTATCTTCTCACTTAGATTATATTCTGTACAACAAAATGTCAGAATAAAACTTCTAGCAGATATCACTCAAATATTGCAAAAGTACAGTGTTAAATGATCCAAAATTATTTTCTACTGTAAAATCCGTATTAACAAATTGAACTTTGCATTTGTGGTCGTAAGTATTCATAGGCCTAAAGTCTGTAACAGTAAGATTTTCATGACATGAAGATATTTTCAAAATCACAAAAAAAAAACTTGAGTAAAGGCAGCAGCGTTAAATCTTTCCTAATGAATTTGCTTTTAGATATATTTACTTACTGCACTAAAAATCTCAATATTGCTGAAGAACAAAACTGCAATACAATCAACTAGTGAGCTGAATTCCTGAGGCAATACAAAATACGATTGTTAGCCTGTAACTGCCCTGCCCTGCAAGCCAAACATGCCTGACATAAATCACTGAAGGAATGAAAGATTTATAAACTTTAAGTAAAATCTTTAAATATATACTGCTTTCTTATATTGTCAGCCCAGATACATTATTGTATGGTAGCCATTTGCAGTATATCCCACTTTTTTCCACTGTGCTATTTGTAGTAGCGTTTAATCAAATTATTACCATCTTCAAGAAATTTACAGGATCATAAAATACATTCCTTCAAAACCCTAATTATCTTATGTGCAGTTACTGGTCTCTGCCATCATTCTTCGTAAGAACTGAATTCTGAAGTGTGATTAGCCTTGGATAATTAGGTTTTCTAAGTAAGTACAGTCCAATCTACCTCCTGATAACTCAGTGAGAGTCTTTCCTTTGACTTTTAAGGACCATGTCGGTCTCTAGTAGAACAACTATGTTAAAGTTAGCAGCAACATTAACCTTGGGAAGTTTCACCAACATGGAAGCAGGTATAGGAACGGAGAGTAAATGTTCATTGTTTCTTACATATCACTGAATAACTAGCCCACATGACCAGACTTTCAACAGTGTTATTAAACAGTACCAAATAGAGGTTTTAATTTCATTATTTGCTTGCCATGTGCTTAATCAGAGCTAACATAAGAATAATCCCATTTCACAGCTATTAATGAACAGTCATTGCAGTATATTGTGGTTTAGGCTGGACCAAAATTAGAGCCAGACCTTACAAAGGAGTTGTATCTTATTGTTAACCATCTGAGGTACCTCTGGATTTTCTCTGCTAAAAATTATGTTGACAACTATTTACGTTGTGATGAATTAATGCAATGCATTGTCTGAACTGATGCTGAGAAATGGTCAAATCTACTGACAAATTACTCCCACAAGAGTTTGCACAATTTTCTCCAGAACCATTAAACAGACTACATCATGTAGTTAGAATGTAGTTTGCTAAAGCGGCCATTAAAAAAAAAAAAAAAAAAAAAAAAAAAAAAAAAAAAAAAAAGCTGTACAGATGCTGGTATTATCACCAATTCGTGATTTACTGATTATAGAAGAACTCCCACTGACTTCAGTGATGTCAGGATTTAAAAAAAAAAATAATCCACAAACAAGGTATTACCTTACACAGCCCCTCTTTTCTTCTGTTCTTTGACTGAATGAGCTGTTTACCGATTTGTGATCACCATCTGATTTTTGTTCATTCTGTTGATCTGCTATGGACATACAGTTCATGTCTTTCTCTTGAGTTTTAAGATCTTTTTAAGTAAGAAAACAAGTGCAGTTTAACAGCATGGGTAGGGAAAATTGGCACACTGTCAATTAGAGAAATATTGAAGAGCACTTCAATATGAATTTCAAGAAAAGCAGTATTCTAACCAGGATTTTTGCTCGAATCTTTATTGGAAGGAAACTTAACTTTTTTTAGCAGGCAAAGCAGTAACATAAGTAGTAGTAAAATGAACTGTTGAAATCTGCTTTTTTTTTTTTTTAGATCTGGAAGTCAGGTAGTTCCCACTAGTCTTAAAATTATTATAATGTACAGTGACAGTGAAGTACTGGCACCAAGGTTCTTAGTCTTAGACATCTACTATATATTACATTCAGTTAACAATAATTTGAGTTTAAGAATGCTAACTTTGCATGTAAAGAGACTAAAGTCAGGGCGTATCTCAAGCACTGTTTCCTAGTACAGCTCTTCTACAAAATTACCCTTTTGCAGTCTTCGGAAGGTGTCTCCAGTGCTATACTCATTCAAGCCATCTTTAGGCTGCCTTTGATTAATTGCATTTTCAATACTCTTCTCTTCAGATTCTTGCTCTGAACCTTCTAGTTGCACTTGTGGTCCATATACTTAAAAAGAGACAATGCAAACAAGATGATTGTACCAACTCATTTAAATATGATTGTAATTAAAACATTTGGAAGTCAGGCTAGCTGCATGATTGCAACACAGGAAAAGGTATCTCTTCAGCTAGAAAATTAAACAGAAAAAAAGCAAACACAAGAAGATAGCAGTTGAGTAAGTCTCAGCTATGGCAAGATTTTCAGTGAATTTACTGAGAGAAAGAATAAACTCATATTACATCCAGATGAGTAATGACAGACTTGATATCTAGGCTTTATGGTCACTGCAATTCCCTAAATTAGTCCTAGCAAGCCAGCTGGACGAGCTCACCTGTGGTGACAGAATTGCCTTCGCTTTCTGTTTGGCTATCTGCATGTCTGGTGTCGTTCAGAGATTCCCCTGACACCTCTTGTGCAGTAACTTTCCTTCCAAGGCCTTTGTCTCCAATTTGTGATTGCATTTTAAGATGATTTAGACAAACATCAGCCAAGTCAGCATTTGATTTACAGTCCAACTTTTCCAGACAAAACATCTAAAGGTTTTTGTAAGAGAATCTCTTACAGATAAGACGACCTGTATGAGTAAACTATGAGGCGTGCATGGAGCTGGCAACCTGGGGCTAGTCACTGCAACGATACTAAAAGGCAGGAAGAGCTTATCTTAAATCCTGCCTACTGTGGATCTCACTCAGAGCAGAGGGCCACGGCCGAAGAGCCTCCCAAAGCAGAGTGAGACTTTTTTCCTTCTGAAGGTGTCGAGCTGAGGACACAGCGATGGTGCCCTTCGAGGCACCACCCGCTCCTGCGCACCACCTGCCTGCTGCCCCCCTGCAAGCCGGGCGGGTTCCTGAGGCGAGGTTTAGTCTCCTCACGAGGACTGCAGATGCTGTCACGTTTCCCCCCAGCACTTTTCGCTGCTGTAGCCCGGGAGGTCTCTGGGCCAGACTCGTGTCCTAGAGCGCAGTGCTGGATCTCCCGTTAAACCTCCAGCGGCCTTTGCCTGACCCGAGCCCCGGCCTGGGCTGGGTCTGGCAGGGCCGGGCCCGCTGGTTGGCGAGGGCGTGCCCGGAGCCCGCTATCCCTCCCGGCAGGGGTGAGGCCTGCGGCCCGCAGTGCGCGTCGGCCGGCTGGGCGCGGGGAGGGCGGTGAGCAACGCGCTAAAGGAAGCGGCGGTAAGCTGTCGGCTCTGGTTGTAGATCGAGTGGTGCCGAGGAGGCGGCGGTTGGGGTTTGTGCTTGTTTTAAAAAAATCTTCACTAGTAAAAACGTTGTGAAGCACAGCACGCTTTCCCCTGCAAGGCGGTGTGCGGTGTGCCATCAGCGCAGGGCGCTGTCCCGTGGCTTCAGGCTTTTCAAACCGTAAGGACACGGTAGATGTGGTGCAATCGCTAGGAAAGGGTTAGTGCTTTGTGATATTGCTAGGGACTAAAATGATGCTTCTGCCTCTGAGCTTGCTTCTTCTCTCGTGTAGCTGTCTGTGCTTGGAAGAGCATGTTGTTTCTTGTGTGCTCAGCTCTCTCCTGCTGGTTATCCTTGCCTCTTTTGTAGATGGATCTTAACCTTCCAAAACTAGTTTTTACATGTCGAACTTTCCTTATCTGCTTGGACTTGAATTGTTTACAGTAGGATTGATTGGTGTTATTGCAGTATAACTGATTAGTAGCTAAGGCCTTGAACAAGGACCAAACAGTAGCTAAACCTGTGAGGATGATGGTAGGTAATACCCAAATTTTAGCAGGCTGACATGTGGCTTTTCTGCATCAAAATGGTTCTCAGACTGTAATGTGCTGAATCGCAAAGGTTTTACATTCAGTCTGAAAAGTTTACGTGGCCCAAGAGGTGATTGTAATTGCCTGTGTGTCTCTTGTTTTTTTTTCCAGGCTTGTGATCACCATGGCTGCAGTGGATCGTTTCAACCTCTTGTACAGGGAGATCAGTCGTTCCTGCAATTTTTACGTAGAGGCCCTGGCTATAGTTGGAGCTTGGTACACAGTCAGAAAGTGTGTCTCGCTTGCATTTGACACTTACCACATGCTTAGGTTGCATTTAATTCCAAAGCTGGGCGGCAAGATTGATCTTGTCAAGCAGTATGGAAAATGGGCCGTGGTCACTGGTAAGAGACCGAAGCAGTATATTTGCTTATGTTTATATAGCATACTGTGCCAGTACTGTAAAACTTGCTAGCTTATATTGCTGGGTGAGGCTTATGTCACAAGATAGTGACTGTGTTATCTCAGGTTGCATGTTAATCTTCTTGAACAGTGACAGTTGTTCAGTGCCTTGCAGTTCCTCATGAGACAAGCAAGCTTATTGATTGACTGCTGAGAAAGAATTACAGAGCACTTCTTCCCAAAAATTGCAAGGTACACCCCAGACGCATGCAAGCATAGACAGAGATGCCAGCAAGATCCCTTTTTTGTTATGGGCTTTTCTTCAACAAGGTTTAAGTCACGTACCTCTGACATCCTCACCTTTCATTAAGGTTCTACTGCATGCTCTTTGTTGTCATAGAAAATATAAAAACTGCATGAGATGGGATTGCAGAAGGGTGCTACTGACGATCACAGAAACATGGTGGGATGAGTCACACAACTGGAGTGTTGCAGTGGGTGGCTATAACATCTTCAGAAGGGCTGGGCAAGGAAGGAGAGGCAGTGCGGTAGCCCTGTGTGTTAGGGAATGTTTTGATTGTCTAGAGCTTAATGACGGTGATGATAGGCTTGGGTGTACGTGAGTAACAATCAGGGGGAACACCAACAAGGCAGATATCATGGTGGGAGTCTGTTACAGACCACCCAACTGGGATGAAGAGGTAGACAAAATATTCTATAAGCAGCTGGGAGAAGTCTCACAATCACTAGCCTTTGTTCTTGTGGGGGACTTCAACTTACCAGATGTCTGCTGGAAGTACGATACAGCAGAGAGGAAACAGTCCAGGAGGTTTCTGGAGTGTGTGGAAGATAACTTCCTAACAACTGGTGAGGGAGCCACCCCTGCTGGACCTGCTGTTTGCAAACAGAGAAGGACTTGTGGGTGATGTGACAGTTAGAGGCTGTCTTGGGTGCAGCAACCATGAAAGGATAGAGTTTTTGATTCTTGGAGAAGTAAGGAGTAGGGTCAGCAGAACTGTCATCTGGGACTTCCAGAGGACAGACTTGGCCTGGTTTGGGAGCCTGGTTGACAGAGTCCCTCAGGAGGCAGTCCTGAAGGGCAGAAGAGTCTAGGAAGGCTGGACATTCTTCAGGAATGAAAACTTAAAGATGCAGGAGCAGGCTGTCCCCATGTGCCAGAAGATGAGCTGGTGGAGTAGAAGACTGGCTTGACTGTACAGAGAGCTTTGGCTGGAACTCAGGAAAAAAATGAGAGTTTGTGACCTTTGGAAGAAGGGGTAAGCAACTCAGGAGGACTACAAGGATGTCATGAGGTTATGCAGGGAGAAAATTAGAAGGGCCAAAGCTCAACTAGAGCTTAATCTATCTACTACTCTAAAAGACAATAAAAAATATTTATATAAATATATTAGCAACAAAAGGAGGGCTAAGGAGAATCTCCATCCTTTACTGGATGCAGGTGGAAACAGTGACAAAGGGTGATGAAAAGGCTGAGGTACTTAATGCCTTCTTTGCCCCAGTCTTTAATAGTAAGACCAGTTCTTTGGTACCCAGCCCCCTGAGCTGGAAAACAGGGATGGGGAGCAGAGTGAAGCCTCCATAACCCAAGGGGAAATGGTTAGTGAGCTGCTACACCACTTAGACACACACAGGCCTATGGGACTGGATGGGATCCACCCAAGGGTGCCGAGGGAACTGGTGGAAGTGCTCACCAAGCCACTTTCCATCATTTATCAACAGTCTTGGCTAACCGGGGAAGTCCCAGTTGACTGGAGGTTAACATAATGTGAAACTCATCTACAGGAAGGGCTGGAAGGAGGATCTGAGGAACTACAGGCCTGTCAGCCTCACCTTGGTGCTAGGGAAGGTTATGGAACAGATCATCTTGAGTGCCCTCATGTGCCATGTACAGACAACAGATGATCAGGCCCAGTTGGCACCAGTTTATGAAAGGCAGGTCCTGCTTGACTGACCTGATCTCCTTGTATGATAAGGTGACCCATTTAGTGAATGAGGAAAAGGCTGTGGATGTTGTCTAAGTGGATTTTAGTAAAGCCTTTGACACCATTTCCCGCAGCATTCTCCTGAAGAAACTGTCTGCTTGTGGCTTGGACAGGTGTACTCTTTGCTGGGTAAAAAATTGGCTGGATGGCCAGGCCCAAAGAGTGGTGGTGAATGGAATTAAATCCAGTTGGTAGCCAGTCATAAGTGTGTCCCCCAGGGCTCAGTGTTGGGTCAAGTTCTGTTTCATATCTTTACCAATTATCTGGACAAGGGGATTGAGTCTGCCCTCAGTAAGTTTGCAGATGACAGCAGGTTGGGCAGAAGTGTTGACCTGCTTGAGGTTAGGAAGGGTCTGCAGAGGGATCTGGACAGGCCAGGCTGATGAGCCAAGGCCAGTTGTATGAGGCTGAACAAGGCTCAGTGCTGGGTCCTGCACTCAGGTCACAACAAGCCTCTGCAATGCTGCAGGCTTGGGGCAGAGTGGCTGGAAAGCTGCCCAGCAGAAAATGACCTGGGAGTGCTGTTGACAGCCGGCTGAACATGAGCCGGCAGTGTGCCCAGGTGCCCAAGATGGCCAACGGCATCTTGGCTTGTATCAGAAATAGTGTGGCCAGCGGGGACAGGGAAGGGATCATCCTCCTGTGCTCGGCACTGGTGAGGCCGCCCCACACATTCTGTGTTCAGTTTTGGGCCCCTCACTGCAAGACAGATATTGTGGTGTTGGAGCGTGTCCAAAGAAGAATAGCGAAGCTGGTGAAGGGTCTGGAGCACAAGTCGTATGAAGAGTGGTTGAGGGAACTGGGGTGGTTTAGATTGGAGAAAGGGAGGCTGAGAGGAGACCTCATTGCTCCCTGCAACTCTCTGAAAGGAGGGTGTCAGAGGTGGAGGTCGGTCTCTTCTCCCAAGTAACAAGTGATAGGAAATGACCTCAAGTTACGCTAGGGCAGGTTTAGATTGCATATCAGGAAAAAGTTACTCACTGAAAGGGTCGTCAAACATTGGAACAGGCTGCCCTGGGAAGTGGTTGAGTTGCCATCCCTGGAAATATTTGAAAGACATAAATGTGGTGCTTAGGGACATGGTTTAGTGGTGGGCTTGGCAATGCTGGGTTAACGGTTGGACTCCATGATTTTAAAGGTTTTTTCCAGCCTAAATCATTCTGTGATTCTGTGACAATGTCTTTTTAGTTGTGTTTTTGAGATCACCATATTCAGTGTCACATGATCTTCAGAGAAAGGAAGAAAGTTATAATTGAAAGAACTGGCAAAAGAGAAGGCTGGGGCTGCTCTGATTTTCACCTTTTTTAATTTCCTATTACAGGTAGCACAGATGGTATCGGGAAGGCATATGCCGAAGAACTGGCAAAGCGTGGTGTCAACATCATCTTAATCAGCCGAAACAAAGAGAAGCTGGAGGCTGTGTCTAGAAGTATATCTGAAACCTATAAAGTGGAAACAGATTTCATAGTAGCTGACTTCAGCAAGGGGCGTGAGCCTTACCCAGGCATTAAGAAGGCTCTAGAAGACCGTGAAATTGGCATTTTGGTGAATAATGTAGGAATGTCTTATCCCTACCCAGACTATTTTACCAACCTGTCTGAGGATATGTTGTGGGACATAATCAATGTAAATATTGCTTCTGCTAACATGATGATTCATATTGTGCTGCCAGGCATGGTAGAGAAGAAGAAAGGGGCAATTGTGAATGTTTCTTCTGCATCCTGTTGTCACCCAACACCAATGTTGACAATCTATGGAGCCTCTAAAGTAAGTTGGGGTGTAATGTTTAATGGTATGCACTAAAAAGTAGATGCATTATAGGTTGGTTGGTTGTAAATACATTTAGCAAGGATATAAAAATATACTTGAAAGTTTTCTAGGAGTTTGTTCAAATCCCGGAGGTGTTACATATAATATGCAGTAAATTCTTTATCCTCACTAATATTGGTCTTTGAACTGAAGGCAGTGCTATTTGGATGACATGTGAACTGTAGCATAACAGTAGTCATAGGAAAAATCAGAGGAATGATGCATAAAGCAAAGTGACATTTCTGTGACCCATCAAAAGGTACAGGAATTTCATCTCTTTTTCAGCTGAACTGTGCAGACATAGCTCAAGCTACTTACATACTACTGTTTGGTAGCAAGAGGGGTTATACTTATGCTCAAGGCACTGTGATGACAAGGGCTGTGACCAAATCAAGCCACTGCTTCACCTAACACCAAGGGACAGAAGGCTGCTTACATCGTTGCCTGTACCATATTTAGGGAGAAGGGAAGAGAACTCCTCCCCCGGCACCAATGAGATCCAGTCAGTAATGAATAGGATGGAGCAGCTGGGTGTTGCTGGAAGTATGAATAGATGTGGGGATGCAGATTTACACTGGGTGACTTGCTGCTGAATCCACAAAAGCAGGATCTTGCCTAGATCTGGTGTCGAAACACAAGTGGTTATTGCTCCCAGCTGTTGGTGGCTGCTCTCCGCTGTAGCCTAACCCCTGTGCAGCCTTGCTTCTGGGATAGGTCTTGTGAGTACTTCCTTTTGCCTGGAGCAAAACCAGCTCTTACTACCCCAAGGTATAAAACTCCTTGCAGATTTTCTTCATTGTGGAAACTGGCTTAAGATTCCTGTTTCTGTTGCAGAGTATCTTCCCCCATAGGTTATGGTGAGTGTATGTAGAATTGCACACTGAGGCCTGAATGAAAAAGATCAGAACAAAAACAAGTGTACCAAAGTTTCTTCCTTTAGCTGCCATCATTAATCCAGATCCTAGATCAGCAATCCAGTTTAAAGGCTAGCCTCTGTACACTTGTATTGGTGCAGAAGTGAGAAGAAGCTGCTCTAGCATCGCAAGCCTCTGTGTGTGTTAATAGTGTATGGTGTTCGAAGTGGTTCATTTGTTTTGTTTCTTTTCCTAAAGCAGGTGTAAGCATTTGTAGATGCTATCCCAACAGTCTGCTGGGAATGGAGCTTTTGTGAGGCCATTTGGGAGCAGCAGCCTGTTTGCTCACAAGCTGAGTCTAAAATTCTCTTTCTCGGCACAGCAGCAGCTTCAGTGTGACGGCAGCGTTGCTGCCTTGATAAGACTGAGCAATGGTTATTCTCCCATCTATTTGATTCCAGCAATCCCAGTTATCAGGCTTCTGCTTTTTATGTTATTCTGTAAAAGTAAAATGAACTCAAGGAGGTAGTACGGATATACATAAACAAATGCATGTTTAATTCTGCACAAGGGAGTTGCAAGAAGTAATTAACCTAGCTTCTGGGGAAGATCAGTTGAGTATGAAGTTTGCCTGTAAATGTATTAAAAAATGGGACTTCAATTTGTCCTTTTGACAATAGTATGTGTAGTTAGCTTTGGAGTGTCCCTTGCAATGCCCCCAGACTAAAGGTGTTTGGTTTAGATGAAATAAATGTTTCTGTATTGTTTTTAAGCAGAAATTGTCAGATTGTTAAATTTACATCAGAGAGTTAAGCAGTTGCTTTGACCTGCAAGTTACTGTACCATTGCAGGTTTTTAGCAAAAAAATAACAAATAGAAATGTTGGTAATTCTTTGAAATGTGTATTTTTATACTATTTATTCAAGATACTGTAATTTTTTTTAGCTGATATATAAAATATGCTACAACTTTTCTGTAATTTCAATAAAACTCTGCCCTAAGACTTGATTATTTTTAAAAATAAGAAATTAAGGAAAAAAGATGTTTCTTTCTGCTTTTGTCTTTCTAGACTTACTTGGACTATTTTAGTAGAGCGCTACAGTATGAGTATGCCTCAAAAGGAATTTTTGTTCAGAGTTTAACCCCATTCATAATTGCTACAAAAATGACAGCATGCAGCAGCATTACATCAAAGAGATCTTTCTTTTTTCCTTCTGCTGAAGAATATGCAAGTCATGCCATTTCTACTCTTGGGTTATCCACAAGGACTACTGGTTACTGGAAGCATGCAATAAAGGTAATAGAATTCATTAATCTATTTCATGTCTGTCAATAGAAGTAAATAAGTTGTTGACTTTCTTAGGAGTCTGAAAACTATGCTCGTATTCTGAAAAAGTGCAATATATATTGCAGGACTTAAAGGCATTGTGCCGTATTTTCACACTAATTCTGCTTTAGAAAATTATGCTCAGGCATGCTTATTTTTAGAATGAGAGAGTGAATCCAATTCCAACTTGAAATGGGAAAAAGACAACTTTTTATTCAAAAGCACAGAGTATCTCACTTCACTTGGGGTGTTGCTGACTGGGCAAGCATTTAATGATCTATGAACAGAAATAGCTTTTCTTAATCTTAATTTATTGAGCATACTTCTGCTTTGAGGAAGAGTGGGCAGGGAGGATGAAATAATAGCAGATAAAAAAGGCCACATTTTTATCTTGATACCTGGAAGCAGGTTCTCTGTATGTTAGGTTTTCATTTTGGGAGGCAGACTGTGGGCTCCAAAGTAATTTTATGAACATTGGTCACATCTCATGTGTCCTGCCTAGTGGCTTTCTATAGCATAGGTTGAGTAGAAGAAATTGAAGAGGTGGGGATTATTCCAAAAGGAATAAAAGAATTGGGAAGGAATCTGGTAAAATGTGGCAATTAAAGGAAGTGGGCAGTGTAGCTGTTGCAAACTTGAACAAACCATTTCAGGATTTATTTGCAGAACCAAACTGTTCAGCTGTGGGCACTACTTCCAAAGTGGCTAAATATATTTACTTCCAGGAGGTTGAATTTAAGGCTCAGTTGCTTCAATTCAAAAGGTTTTGCCTTGCTTTAGTGGTAATTTGAGAAACTGTTTGTTAACTTTAATGGAATATATCTTAATCTGTCTATTTCTTTCTTTTCTCTTCCCTTGTCTCCCTGTACTTTTCCACAGTTCACGCTGGGTGAGCGCCTACCTGAATGGATCTGGGCATGGTTTGCAATGTATTTTCTCAGAACTATGCGCAAGGAAGCTTTAACATGCAAAGTGAAATAGGAGTATCTAGATGTCCTGTGTAACGAGTACTATATTCTGATCAGAGCATTGCAAAAATGTGCAGTGAACCTTGGTGGACTTACTGCAACTTATCCATACCTTGCTAAACAAGCTATGTGTAACATAGACATCAGAAGTCTGGATCCTCTCTATCCTTAAATAGCTCCTCTGCTGCTTTCCTCCATCACAGAGAGCTAATCTTTTTAAGGTTAATCTTCGTTCACTTTCTCTTGAAGGTAATTGAGCAGGAGCAGGTAGAGTTTTAATTCTTATAGTAAATGACTGTTTCCTCCATAGTGCTACATGATTTCAACTTGCAAAGTTGACTGAATTTGAGAATTCTCCAAATATGTCAGAAATGGGCCTCAGAAAATCATGTTGTTCTAAAAGACAATCCCAGTCAACTGTATTATGTTTCTTTAATATGTAGTTTTGTGTAACTCTTCTGCCTTCTAAGAGCGGATGTATGTTTGTTTGTTTGAAGTGCAAATACTGCTTTTGGATTATGTTATTTAAGGAACTTTTCAAAATGAAGGTGTATAACAAAGTGCTGTTGACTCAGAGGTTGTTTAAATGATGGAAAAGGTCATACAGAGCCGTAAAGGAATTTGGAGATAAGCTTGTATGCTTTCTTATTCCAGGTGTGAATGATCTTGATAATACTTTATATATTGCTTCAGCAATCTGGAATATGGCTGGAGAATTAAGAATGTGAAAACACTAGATAAAGAAAAATAATGAAGAAATATTTTTACTTAAAAAGAGGTTGGTTTCCTACAATAATAAAAATTATTGAAGTTTTGATGCTGTATGATTTTTGATGCTTTTGTTTATATAACTAAATATGTTTTATGCATACATACTTACTAGAAGTCATCAGATATCACACACTGCTCATGTGTTGCAGGCTCCACATCTGAGAGTCAGGAGAGCTGTCCTGTCTGTGTATGCTTAATTGTTGCCTGAAAGAGGGACGTGACTTTGGAAAATCTTTTTGTGTTTTATATTATTATGGGATTGTTAGTGCTGCTTCTGTAATGTTATACTGAAATATCCAACCCGTGAAATACCTATATACACAGCAGCATGACTCAAGGAACATCCTACCCTTGTTTGTGCTAATATTTGTTGCCTGAATGTTACAGTGCTCTATTTCCTGATGGTGACAGTGGGAGGTCAGTATACTATGCTAGTTTGCTCCCTGAAATCCCTACGAGAGGACATACAACAGTTGCACTCGTTGGGAGCGGCGGCGCTGCCCCGCACGGTGCTCGGCTGCTCTCGCCGAGACGGCGCTAACGACCCGCGGTAACGGGCACCGAATACATGAGTTTCCTCGTTCGCTGACTACGGCGCGCTGGGCACGGGCAGAGCTCCCTGAAGGGGAGGGCTCCTCTGCTGCCCGTGGCCCGAAGCCGCAGAGCGAGGCTGCCTGCAACCTCCCCGCCGCTGCTCTCTGAACAGATCTCAGCCGGCGATCTGCGCGGAGTTCCCATCGCCCGGTCTGGGGTACCCTCGCTTCAGAAAAAACAGGAAGTAACTCCAAGTGTAGCTGTTCTAGGGGATGGGCAGGTTGGCAAGTTTAGGTTCCTATGCAGCTCCACACGGTAAGGGTATTAAACTGAATAAAGTTGTGAGTGTGCAGTTCCCTTGCTCTTAGTTTCCATCATATTTCAGCATCGGGCTTACATACAGTGTGTTATCAGCAGTAAGAATGTTTGTTTTGTTTATTTGTGCAGTTGTTTTTTTTATTATTCTAGTTTATAAGCCAACAAAGTGATAAGGTAGGATCAGCAGGCAACATACTATAACTGTGTTTAGTTTCGGGATGAAGAAGCAGCTTTGTAATCACAAGCAGTTCAGTCTTTCATGGCGTTGTCAGTCAGCTAGAAATAGAGGGGAATTCTAGCCCTGTTACAAGGAAATACTTGAGAATGCTAAATAAAACCAAAGTAACAGCTGTCACATGCAGACTTGATTCATGCTGTTGTGCTGTGAAGTCAACCCATCATTCTGAATACTGTGACTCTCCTAATAAGGCTCCTGCTTTTCAGCCCTGGTCACTGCAGCAATGTATAGTTCTGCTCTGCTTTTCCATGTGGTGTGACAGGAAAAAAAAAAATGTTTCTCTTCACTCATCTCTTAATGGCTTTTTATCTATTGTTAGTGCAATGTTTGGAATTTTAAGAAGTACTAGCATTGCAAGTTTTTTCAAATGCTTGCTGTACCTCGGAATATAAAGGGAAGAAGCTTCCCCTCCATGTGAAAAACACTTTCCTTGAACTTCACATTATTACATCTGTAATCCTAGCCCTTACTTTCTCATGTGCCCATGTTGCAGGAACTCATGTTTCACCTCAAGAAAATGTGAAAGACTTTTTAAACGCTGATTTTCTCTTACAAGCACAGGGACTGAAAGTTTGCTTCCTGTAGTATTTCTTGTGCTTACCAACCCTTGTCACAGAGTTTGATTCTCCTTGTGTAAAATGGCATGCCATAGCAGAATTCCTATTTGCTACATTTCTGACTGGAAAAAAGCCGCCATGCTCTTTTAAGCATCAGTGGACACTTTTTATCATGTTAATATTGTATTTTGCACTTTACTTTTTCCTTGCCATGGGCCTGGCACATCATTTTGTTATTTTCACACACCCTTTATGTACCAGGTGGTAGAGATTGGTGGTCACTGTTGCCTGTTCTGTTGTCAGGTTAATGCCTGAGTGTTCCACATGTGCTCTGGGCAAAGAAGAAACTTGAGTGTTTCTGAAAAATTACTAAATGAAACATATGAACAATTTTTTCCATATTATTTCTAATACTGACTGCCAAAGGTATCTATCTTTTGTGATTTTCAGGCTACACTTTTGGACAAATATGAATCTAATTATTTTCTATATTGCCCTGCCTTACAGGTTGGCTTGCAATCAACTTTGGTAATTCTTCTAGGGAGTTAACTTTGCCATCAGAAATGGAATACAGGACTCAGCTACCACATCCTGAGTGACCGAATCCTTTAATACAAAATGGAGAAGAAGCGTAGAAAGAAATGAGCCTGTTTATAAGGCTTTACCTCAAAAGACCATGAAATCGCTACTTATTTTGGACACAGCTTTAAGAATATCCAGTTGATCAGCACAGTGAAAGCAACATTTACTGAAACAAAAATGAACTAGTTTATAAAGAAGAAAGTTGTGATTTGAATATATGGAATTTTTGGAATGAAACCATTTTCTTCTATGACCATGAAGTTTGCAAACGTCTGGTTTGTTCTGGTTGTTATTTTACTCTGTGGCAAAAAACACTTCGGTACCAGACTAGGGAATTCCTCTCATGAGGCTCACATATGTCCTGGATGTTCCCGCCTTACTTTGAAAGTGGAATTCACTTCGACAGTCGTGGAGCATGGTAATAAAGAGTTAAGCAGTAAAAAAAATTACCCCTGTGAAGTTCAAGTGTATGTTACTGATTTGTGGCCTTTGTTTAATTGTAACATTCAGAGAGGTCCTGTGGACGAATGTTGTCTGCTAAATTCTCTATATTCAAACAGAGAAAGGCTCTTGGTTTAACTGGAGACAAGATTCAAAGAACAAGAGGAGGAAAAGAGGGGGAAATAAAGAGGATGGTAAAAGTGAAAACAGAGTGCGAGGGCTCAGGTGGCCAAGTCTGGTCACTCTGGTGTGTTTAGTAGCTGTTTGTTTTGATCCGACTGGTGGGATGGTTAAGGCTCTTTTATGAAGTGTAACCACAAGTGGGCCTTGAAGGGGTGAGAAAGGCAAGAAATCTCTGTGGGTTTGTTCAAGAAAAAGTTTGGAAGTGATAATACACATGGAAAAATTGCAAAGATAATTGTGAGCGGAGCAGGTGAAAGGCAAAGTGAGGCAGCTATCACCACTGAGATGGCAAAGGATCGCCTTGACCCTGCGTCCACTTACTGCTTCAGGTACCCGTAATGTTTCTGCAGTGAAGCTGTGTGTGTGCCTGGGTGCTTACAGGCAGGACGTCTGTAGTGACATTTCTGTGCATAGTTAGCCGAAGACTTACTGTGGTAAATGTGGTGGTGTGAGCTGGGGCTGATGTCCACTCTCCAGTCAGTAATCTGGATCAAGGACTGGACTGTTGGGACTGGCTTCTTTTGCTGTTCATGTTGCACTTGGTGTCAGTAATTTGCAGTAAAACTCGATACCATATACAGACTAGATGTCTTTAATTCATACATGTCAAGAAGCATATCAAATTGGCATATCAAGCAGTTTGTACTGCTGGATGTAACTAAGTCTGTTATGTCACCCCAGCTCGCCCCCTTCATTTCAGCTTTCCATGATATTTACAATTCTACCTTCCTTTCAAACGATTTTGTTATGATTTTCAGGTTTTCTAATTAAAAAAGAAAAGCATTATATAGTGCAGAAATAAATTACAGATTTCAAAAAGCAACAGAAATGTGCCTCAGATTGTGATTATTTGTTCTGGATAAAGAAAAAAAAATATTTGGACCTTTATGATGTGAATGCATGAGTAAGCAGCTTAAACATCAGTTCTGATAAGTTGTGCTCTTGTTCCAGAGTATATTGTGGCTTTTAATGGATACTTCACAGCTAAAGCTAGAAGTAAATTTATTTCAAGTGCACTAAAAAGTAGTGATATTGAGAACTGGAGGATTGTACCACGCAACAACCCAGCCAGTGACTATCCTAGTGATTTTGAAGTTATTCAGATCAATGAGAAACAGAAAGATGGAGTATTGACACTGGAAGGTCATCCAAACATCAAGCGTGTAACACCTCAGCGGAAGGTCTTCCGATCACTCAAATACTCTGAGTGTAAGTAATTTTTGTATGGTTGCATGAGATCTGCTTTGCAGAAGTCTACTCAGCCTTATTTCAGACCATCAGCTTAGCATTACACATATGAGAAGTGCTCTACGGTTTTTCTTTACAGAAATCTATTCTTTTGCCTATAAAATCATCAGAGTCTTGTTATACCTTTGCTAAAGTGTGGCAACAATACCAACTGCAGTGTAGAAACATTTCTTTTGCAGGAGTCGATTACCAGATGCTATGGACCACTGTACCCCTAGTAAATAAAACGGATGCATTTACTGGTTTTGATCAGAGAAAATGGATACTTACTCATCTAAAATTTTTATTTTAACAGTATAATGTGTGTATTTGCGTTAAAAGCTAATCTTTTGTGGTTTTCCTTATACTGTATTTTCTTCATCCTCATTCTGCGTAGCTGATCCAATGTTGCACTGCAATGAAACCAGATGGACTCAGAAATGGCAGTCGTCTCGTCCCTTGAGAAGAGCAAGTCTTTCTTTAGGTTCTGGCTTCTGGCATGCAACGGGTCGACACTCAAGCAGGCGTTTGCTAAGAGCTATCCCACGCCAAGTTGCTCAGACCTTGCAGGCAGATGTCCTCTGGCAGATGGGTTACACAGGTATGCTTTTGTCTGTTGGCTTAGAGCAATTACCTTTTTGAAAAAACAAGTGAAGTGTAAGGAAAGGCTAATCGGCCTGTGTTAATCTGTCATTGGGTGCCAGTTCCGGAAAGATTGAGATACACTTTGTTTTGAGATGCATTGTATACTTATGAAGTAGCCTTCTGTGTATGTGTGTATTGTGCTTAAGAGAAATTGGTCATATTTATAATCTGTGGTTGAGTTTCTGAATTGGAATATGTTTTCTTTAAGATCTATAACACTGAGCTGGTAGATTGCATGCTACATTAAACGTAAAAATTTGTCTTGACAGAATAGAGTTGCTATGAAGCTGAAACAGAAAAAGCAATGCTTTTCTATTATAGGTGCTGGTGTAAGAGTAGCAGTATTTGACACTGGTCTGAGTGAGAAACATCCACATTTCAAAAATGTAAAGGAGAGAACAAACTGGACTAACGAGAGAACCTTGGATGACGGTGAGTTGCTCTGCGCAATTGTCCAACTGTTCCTGACACTGGTATGTTCGTTTCCCATTGTAAAACTGCTGTTGCTGCTGTAGTACTAACATCTGTTGAAACTGATATTAAGCTTAGTTTTGCAGTGTCCCAAGCACTTTGTACTGATACCAAATTGAAGGAAGAGTATTAAGGTTCCAGGAGGGTGTTGCATAAGTCCCCTTTGAATCATATGTGGGTTTCATCATAGCATTTGAAAAATGTCAAGGCAAGAAGACATTATACAGGCATAAATACATTGTCAGAGTAGGTGGAGGTGAGAGCAAACCCCACAAAGCTGTTTCTTTCATATTCCTTTTTATGGTTTTTGCTGTTACACAGTGCATACATATTTCCATACTTATGAGGGAGAGCATTTTCCTCTTTACTGTGCAGTCCTAAACTATTCAGAGTTTTGGCACCTTTCTGTAAAGTTTTTCTAATCTGTATAGTTTTCATCAACACACATTATGCTGACTTATGCCCATAGGTGCTCCAAAGAACTTTTTTATTTTCCATAGCATGTTTGTGTTCCTTTTTAATATGTCGAACCTAACTTGCCCTGACCATATGCTTTCACAGATTATTAACATCACACAGTCTGGGTCAGTGAGATGGCATTTTAATCCCTTTAGAGTTCAAGGTGTATGTGTATCTTGCTCAGTCTTGTGTGCATTTCCATAGTTTTGTCCTGTATAGTATTACTTTGCATTGCAGCACCTGCTTTTTTGGCACTTTCTATTATTTCTGTGCCCAGATGGTTGCTGAACAGGCAGATTTGGAGCACAGAAATATAATGCATGCAGTCCCGTAAAGCAAAAGCTAAATTATTTTTTGAGAGACAGAAAAAAAAAATGTTTTCTTGTCTTATTTTTCATCTTTAATAAAATACGGTTATTGCAGAGTCAGGATAAAAATATTTTAAGAAGTTTACATAAAAATATATTGACCTTGTGACTTGTGTTTTCCAAAATAACCTTTTTCTTTCATGACTGCTTTGTGTGGCTCCTGATTTCATTGGTAGCAATCAGGAGTGGATAGACTAGAGAGTGTATCACTCAGAGTTTCATCAGCTGATTGTCTGGCTAGACAGTGCTGGAAATTCTGGCCCTACTGAAGCCAGTAGCAAACTATGACACAAGAAGACTAGGACTGAGCCCAGTGTTTGCGGGTTGTAGTGAATTCTGTTAGCTTGATGTGATTTTTGGTATAAGCAGTGTTTAACAGTACAAATCCTTGACAATTAAATGGTTTGTTTTGTAACATCTTGCTTTTTTTCCTTCTCTCTGTGATAGGTTTAGGCCATGGGACTTTTGTAGCAGGGGTGATAGCCAGCATGAGAGAATGCCAGGGATTTGCTCCGAATGCAGAACTGCACATTTTTAGAGTGTTCACCAATAACCAGGTAGCTATTTTACAGGTGTTTCAATTTCTACCTTTACAGATTAATGCTGTATTAATCTTTCCTTTAGGAATATTGCAAGTACTTGTAAATGTTGACATATTTTCTTTGATAGGTGAGAAGGATACATCTTTCTAAGCGGCTTAGTACAAGACTTCTTACAGTTTCCAGATCTCCTATATATTTCAGAAATAATGTGTGGAAGTCTGATCTGAGTAGTGTTGGAGCAATCACTCATATGTACTGATGACTAGAAATACTAGGAGATGATTGTCAGTTTTGTGCTTTATTTTGGTGTTGTTTCTCCTTGCTGAACTCTATTTTCATGGAATCACTGGATTTTCTATTGATAGTTTTTTTTCCCCTCTTTCTTCCATAGGTTTCATATACATCTTGGTTTCTGGATGCCTTTAATTATGCAATTTTAAAGAAGATAGATGTATTGAATCTAAGTATTGGTGGGCCAGACTTCATGGATCATCCGTTTGTGGACAAAGTTAGTATGAGGAAATAAAATGGTCCGGGTGTTTAAATCCCTCACACAAATGCTGGACTTGCAGAGCTACTTGTTTGCCACAGCTGCTGACGGTTTCATTTACATGAGAGAAATTTTGTACAGTGTACAGGCTTTTAGGAATATATTTAAGGAATGGGTTAAAAAAATCCAGACACAACTCAGATATTCCAAGAGCTATGGAAGCATGCCCTTTTACGAAATGCTGTATGTGCTGCTAGGAAGTGTGATTCCCAAGCAGGCAACTAAGTGGTCCCTTAATAGAAGAAGCTTAACTGAAATCCACCCTTGGTTTTGTTTTTTTTTTTTTAAATCTCTGGTAATTTCATGGTAAAACTATATAGTCTGAATTTATCATCAAATTGTTTAAGGACAAATAGGTAAAAAGTACAGGTAATTGATTCAGATATGTGATAAGAGATTCGTTTCAGAATAAGGTGGAATTAGGTTTTTGTCTTTGTAAATGTCATGGTTCTCTAAATTGTTGATCTGCCCTTCAAAAGCACTAAGTGAACTGACTTACATTTTAAAACAGCATAAACTCTTTTCTTTGTAAAGGGTAATTAAGGGATTTGAGTCGTAGAAATTCTTCTGGTTTTTATGATAACCTGCACTGAAATGTAGTTTGACAGTGACTTCACTACTTTCCCCAGAGTATTACTGAAGGGAATTTAGAAGAATTTGACTTTGGCATCTGACTTTGTTATGGGCAGGAGTTTTTTCTTATTTTCACCTAAATAGATATGCTTGGCAGTGTTGCTGTCAAGGCTGGATTATTGGTCACATAATCTTAAGAAAGTTTGGAGCTTAAGACTGAAAATACCAGTGAGATCTATTTTATAAATCTCAGTAAGAAAGAGGGGTTGGACTTATTGTTTTCTTATGTCAGGCCCCATGGAGTGTATATGTGTTAGAAAAGTCTCTTTTTTGGTGGTAGAGCCTTATTGTAAACGTTATTTTTTGTAGGTATGGGAACTGACAGCTAACAATGTCATCATGGTCTCTGCTATTGGCAATGATGGCCCTTTGTATGGGTAAGTTTCAATGACCACTTCAAAGAAAAGTAAATACATTGTTATTATATGTTTTTGGGAGTAGTTGTGCTTGGTCCGGAAGTTTTCCCTCCTCCTTTTTTCTGTAATCTGTTTATAGAAAGTGACTCAAGTTAAACTCTTTTCACTGCCTTTATCACTTGCTGTAGTAGCACAGCAGTTTGTGAAGTACTTAGCTAAATATTTTCATTGAAACAGTGGGAAGTCAGTAATGGAAGATTGGCAGTACTTCCAACTAATGTTTCCCTTGTAGTGTGAACAAACATCTTTGAGTACTGATCTTGGGCTTAAGGAATACAAAAGGGATCAAGCCAGAGTGATTTGTGCTATATTTCTAAAATAAATGCCTAAAAATAGGTTTTGTTTTTTCTTCAAGATACATGTTTTGTAGTTGTTCGTTACTGAGTTACTAACTGCCTGAAAAGTTGTTCTTGCTTGTAAAGTATAACTGTATCAGATAGGACCAAAATTTGTTTATGTGGAGGTTAAAAATAGTGTCTGACAGAAATCTGATGGCAGCCTGTCAATTATCAGTGTAAACTTAAGACTGTGTCTTGTTTTTTGGTTTGTTTGGGATTTTTTTGGTCTTCCTATCTCCCAACTTGTTCTAGGACTCTCAATAACCCTGCTGATCAGATGGATGTGATTGGAGTAGGTGGCATTGACTTTGAAGATAATATAGCTCGCTTTTCATCAAGGGGAATGACCACTTGGGTAAGATATTTCAACTATGGCCAGCCACATTTGCAGCCAAAATAAGAGCCTTGGAAAGGGAGCCTTTTTTGAAGGGGCAATCCTGTGCAGATGGTATGTGTGGAGTAACCAGTGATAAAAGATTTCATCAAAGATCAGAATAGTTAAAGACTAAGTCTTTAAGCAAGAATCTTAATGTTCTTTGTAGAGTTTCTCATCATTAATCTTGACCACGATGTATTTGTAAAATGTCCAGTACCTTTTGATTTACTGTGTGGACTTGCCTGTGTGGTTAAATCTGCAAAAATGAAGGCCTGCTCTTGCCCTTTCTTTAGTTTAAAAACCCTAGGATTTCCAGATGCTACATGTAACATTGCAGTTATTTACCTGTTGAACTGAGGCGATGGCTACTGCACATGTGATTTCAGATGAGATTGCATTGTGATTTTGATTAAGGGGACTATTACATGTTTCTGTTTGTGCTGCACCTCATTCACTAGCCCAGGTAGCAGGGTGGTTATCATCTTGTCAGTGGTTTCAAGCTTAGTGTAGATACTAAAGTAATTGGCAGTAATATTGACTTAGAAACACTGAGAACCTGTTGTAAATGCCTTCTTTAGGTGTTACTTGCTATTCTGTGATGCTGAACCTCAGCTAATTTAGTTGATAATTTTATTTCTGAATGACTTGCAGTTAGTTTAAGTGCCCAAATGAAGCAACCAGTCTTCATTATGTATTAGGAGAATAATCCATCCATTTTCTTTTACAGGAGCTGCCTGGAGGTTATGGTAGAGTGAAGCCTGATATTGTTACTTATGGCTCTGGAGTGAGAGGTTCTGGTATGAAAGGTGGATGCCGCTCTCTCTCTGGGACAAGCGTAGCATCTCCTGTGGTGGCAGGTGCTGTAACTTTGTTAGTAAGGTAGGTCTTAAATAAGAATCTCTGAAAAGATACTGATGCAGGAGGGCATGAAGGCCCTTAAAAGAACCCACCAAATAAAACTAAATGGTGTTTAGAGGTAGGAAAACAAACTCGGAGGGTGAAATCAGGGTCCTTGTGCCTGAGAAGGGTTCTTGTGCCTTGTCTGACTAGCTCTCAATTTCCTGGGAAAAACTTAAGAACTGTTTTGAATAATAGTTAGGTCTTTGAAAATATAGCTAGGGAGAACAAAGTAATTTTGTCACATTTTTTAATCGTATTGAATTGCTGAGCCTCAGTCAGTTGTGTTGTAGAAGAACAGGCTACTCAAAGTAGGCACCTGTAGCAGATAATTATCTAAATACTTGGGAATTTTATAGGATTAAGGGTTTTATGGCTATTAGCTAATTGCGTAAGTCATCTGTTGCACACTTAAGTACGTGAAAGGAAGGTGGGAGTTACAAGTCTGTACTTGTGTTTGTCATTGCTACTACATAAGAGTGAGATGAACCCTTATTTTGAGAAACACACCAAAAATTCAAAGTCATCATATTTCCTCCATAAAACTGTGTGGTTTTCATTGAACAGCAAAGCTGTTTTTCCCCTCGGAAGAGTCATGTTGTGAAAGATACCAGCAAGTTTCCAGTTACAGAGACTTTCATTTTCAGAGCATTTTATTCAGCCTTTAGTGTCCTGATTGTAATGACTGCTGGTCGTGGAGCACGCTGTAAGGAGAAAAATTCATGTAATACTAGTTTTTAAGAGAAATGTGTTGGAAACTTGTCACTCTTCTTCAGCTGTTCCAGTGAGAAACCAAGTAATAACAGACACACGTGAACAGATGTTACAGCAAACTGATTTTTGATTGCATTTTCTTTAAATGAAATAACAACGCAGAATAGTAAACAAGACTAGCTAGAAACTAGACTAAAGACCACCTATGTGATCTTTTTTTTCCTATTTCAGCACAGTTCAGAAGCGTGAAATGGTGAATCCAGCAAGTATGAAGCAGGCACTTATTGCATCAGCACGTAGACTTCCTGGAGTCAACATGTTTGAACAAGGCCATGGCAAGTTGGATCTTCTGAGAGCTTATCAGATCCTCAACAGCTATAAACCACAGGCCAGGTTAGTTTTAATCCTTGATTAATCAATGATACACTATAATCTGCTGTATTCTTTTAAGAGATCAGGTGATGCATGTATAACTCAGTTGAGCAATCTGTGCTTATGCAACAACGAGAACTTCCACAGATTTTGTGTAATCCTGAAGCATAAATTTTGACAAGAGAATGGATGACAAGTCAAAAGTATTTTCTGCCTAAGTTATAGCAGTGTAGGGGATGAAGTGTCTGTGAGGGCTAAATTTACTTTCTCTTCTAGCCTCAGATGTTATGAATAATGTAACCTAGAACACAAAAGAGAAGTTCTTAGATTTTAACTTTTGAGAATAAGAACAATCTCACTGTGCTGAAAAGTTTCTTTTTGTGTGTGTGAAAACATTCACAAAACTTTAGAAAAGAAATTAGAAAGGATGGGAGGAAGATTTTGGGTCAGATTTGGGAAGCAAGGTGAGAGCTTGATAGAGTGATTATGACTGGCATGTTTTATCTGTAATATTTCCACAGCTCTGTATAGTGGCATGTTCTTCTGTTTATTGATTTTCTTTCTATTTTACCTTTTCCATCCTGCTGTAGTTTGAGTCCAAGCTATATTGACTTGACAGAATGTCCCTACATGTGGCCCTATTGTTCTCAGCCCATATATTATGGAGGGATGCCAACCATTGTTAATGTTACTATCCTTAATGGTATGGGAGTCACTGGGAGAATTGTAGACAAGGTAAGACTTCATGTTCCAAGTTCTGACTATTAATGTCGCTAAAAGCTTCCCAGAAAAGACTTTTAGCTATGAATTTCATAGAACAAATCAGATTTTTTACTGCTGAGAGCAAGAGATGCAAAATGTTTGATTTTAAAGGACGCACCCAGATTAGTAAGATTTGTCAACATAAGCTGTCTACAAGGTTTCAAGCAATGCACTGGTTACAGGGGCGTGTAGTGTTTTATCTTTGTAAAACCAGTTTGGATTGACAGGTACTTAGAGATTTCTTTGTATTCTATGGAAGCATTTAAAATACTCCGGATAGACTTTCTTCTTTTTTTTGGGGGGGAGACGGGGGACGGGACGGGATGGGACTGGAGCATAAGCAAGCTCAGTAAAGAATCCTGACATTATAAATCACGCCTCTTGCATGGGTCAGGACGACCTGAATGTAATTTACCAAGGTCTGCTGCAAAACCTGTTCTTTTACATGAATGATGTTGAGCATGTTGGTTGATGAGGGAGGTTTTTAAATCTTTTTTTAATTAAGCTTTAAATAAGTTTAAATATAGAATTGATACAAGTTAAATAAGGTACCTATCCCAAAAATCTAGCCAATGTAAATGAGCTTAATTTCAACATTTCAGTGTGAATCCTGAGGTCTATTTTAGGTTTATGCTTACATTAGGGGCATTGGAGCTCTTATCCAACATCATTAGCTTGTGGTAATACTCAGACACAGTTGAGGTAATTTGTGTCTGTAACTTTGTATCTGTTACAGCCATAGCTCTCTTTGGTACCCAAGGGAAATTTTGGGTTCTTACCAATGAATTTTTGCACAGGACCCCAAAATGTTAAAACAAGTGCACTTAGGCTGTATGCTATTCAGACAGCTTCTTAGAGAGTCCTGCCTCTGAAAAGCCTCTGTTCAGATCATTAAGTCTGTTACAATTAGGTTGATTCACTGACACACCATCAACCTTTTGGGCTTTGTAGACATTTTAAAATTTGACATAATCTTCAGAAAAGCTAAGATTTGTTACTTCTTTGTGCAAAGGAAGATAGCTATGTGTGCAGAAACTAGAGACTGCAAATATTGTTTTACCAATGTGCTGTATTTTGCATTTCACAGCCAGACTGGCAACCCTATCTCCCCCAAAATGGGGATAATATTGAAGTGGCTTTCTCCTACTCCCCTGTGTTGTGGCCTTGGTCCGGATACTTGGCAATTTCCATCTCTGTAGCAAAGAAAGCAGCATCTTGGGAAGGCATTGCTCAAGGTCATGTTATGATCACAGTATCATCCCCTTCAGAAAATGAAGTAAGTTCTGTGCATTTTGCTTTTTCTGTGTCAATAATTATTAAAACTGCTTTCTGATGTACAAATATGTTCTTTTTAAGGGGTTACTCTGGTCCCGTCATTTGAAGCATGTTAGACTGAGGTCAGAAAATTGAAGAGTACAAATAATGATCTTTATAGTTGAGAGCAGGAATAACCTGCGAATTGGATGTGATTTAGAATCAGAAAACCTCTCTTTGAGGCTGACTTCATAATTTCATTTGTTTATTGTGAATTCTACGTAATGTGTTTTGAAAAAGAGATTACTTAAATATATTTCTTCTGGATCCATGCTTAATTGCTCCTGAGAAGTTTTTAAGGTTTTGAATGATTGGACCAAATCACAGTTGTAACTTATTTTAAGTATCTTACATTCTGAGCATAAATATAAACTGTTGAATGCAGGAAAAACACTGTGGTGATTTAAGGCAAAAGTCACCTCTTTGTTTCCAGAGCTGGACTGGTGACTAAAAGTAGATTTGACACCTCCATTTTTTTGGTCTTTTACAGTCCACAGTTAACTGGTGAATGTTCCTGTGGGGAAAAAGGGTTTCACTGTAGTTTGTTCTGTCCTTCAGTCTAAGAATGGTGCAGAGCAGACTTCAACGGTGAAGCTTCCAATAAAAGTGAAGATTATTCCTACTCCACCTCGTAGTAAGCGAGTCCTTTGGGATCAATATCATAATCTCCGTTATCCACCAGGATACTTCCCCAGGGATAATTTGAGGATGAAGAATGATCCATTAGATTGGTATTTATCTCAGGTTCTATTAAATCAGTATGTCTTGATTGTGTGTTAATGATATGGGATAACTTTACTGAATGCCAAAGAGCTCTAGCCTTTTCCAGTGTAGCATGAGATTATCTTTTCTAAGAAATCCATGAAAAGCACTTGGACTCTGCATGCTTTTGGTGCAGGATTTTTTGTGTGCTCTGTGGTTTTATTCACATGAAATGAAAGCTTATAAAACGCACTTTTAAGATACTGAGATTTTTGATTGGCTTTGAAAGCGTAGCATTATTTTTTCTGCCCTAATTTCTTCCAGGAAGTTAAGGGAGACAGTTTATTAGCCACTTCAGCATTCGCTTATCAAAAAAATGTGAGAAATTTGAAAGACTGAATCATAAAGAAGAAACCCCTTGTCTGTTGAGGGAGACTCTTCGAGGCAGGGCAAGTCTCAGCTGACCTGTTGTCTGTCATACATGGAGAGGGGAACCATCCAGAGGAAGAATGTGTGACAGTGTATAAGGGATGATTAACTGGGTCAGTGACCAGGACACAGGCTTTTGGAAAACCACTTGGAGCATGCAGATACAGCAAATGCACAGGAACACTCTGCTGAGTGTCAGCAATTATTTGCAGGTGATCTTTTGTGCTCCTTCCAGTGAGCAGTTAAAACTGCTCTTACTGGCTCTTTTATGAGGAGGAAGTCCTGTGAAGAGCACCTGGTTTTACTGCAGCAGTGTTTCTCTGTGGTGTCATGCAAACATGTAGAATTGCGCTTTTTAAGGAACACACTTAATCTCTTGCTTTGACTGTGTAACTAACTCTTCTCTGTAGCACTCGGAACCAGTGTAATTTGTGAAGAATTTTGCAAAGAGGAGGTGATGCTTGGAAAACTACAGGTTATAATTTGAAAAAAAGACCTTTTAGAAAGGAAACTGGGAAGTAATCTATAATTAGAGGATTTAAATTGGATTTCTGCATGCCAGATTTAAATGTATTCAGCACTTTTCTCTTTTCCTAAGGAATGGTGACCATATCCACACAAACTTCAGGGATATGTACCAGCACCTCAGGAGCATGGGGTACTTTGTTGAGGTTCTTGGTTCCCCGTTTACATGTTTTGATGCAAGTCAGTATGGTAAGCATGTAATGTAAACAATTGTCTTGTTCTCCATACTGTTAAATTCTCCCTAAAATGGCTTGGTGTTTGGAAGACTAACAATGTTGTGGGGGCACAAAGAGAAATTCTCATGGTAGTGGAAAATATTGTAACTGGTGTATTTATTACTTACATGCTCCTATTTGGTTGTGTAAGGTGTTGCTGCAGAAGCTTTCTTGGGAGACTAGTAGAATTAGGGCAGTTTTCTATCATTATTAAAAAATGTGAGGGAAGCCCACCTCTGAGGGAGTTAAATAAAAGTCCCTCTGTACTCAGTCCCACAAAGGCAGAACTGTATTTGCTGAAAGATTTGGCACAAAGTGAAGCATGACGTGAATAGCGGACTGCAATCAAAAGTGTCCATTCTGGTGGTTTTTATCTCAGCAGTAGCATTTTAAAGCATTGGTCTTTGCGGATAAATAAAGGAGTGGGGAAAGTATTCCATCCAGCCATATGCGGTATCAAAGCAGTATGGGGCTTGTTTCTTCTGTGTTCATCAGGAAGGAGATTTGATAGATTTGCCAAGAAGGGGAAAAAACAAGCAGTCTATGATCTTTTTTGCTCCAATATGCCTCTCTATTTAACCATGACATGCTCCAACAAGACCCTCTTCTCGTTTGGGCTGTGATGTTCTTCAGTGGACTCTAAAGTGAGGGTGCATTCTCCTGACAGTTTTCTGGAAATGTTCTGGAAATGCTGTTAGTAGCAATCTTTTGTTTATCTTGAGTCTCCAGTAAATATCTCACCATTGCTTTTTGAGTTGTAGCCCTTAAAACAGTAGTAAAATAGTTTATCTTCTGAGACCTCTAGTTTTATAGTTGATAGAGAGCAGCATTAAGGCACTTCTCTCTCCTCTGATTCACCATTACATTGGACCTAATTTGGTTTGTAGTTTGTTGATCTTCTAGAATTTTCCCAATGGGAAGAAGTGGGGGTCAAAAAGTGCAGTGATCTGTGGTCCATCTACCACTTCTCCCTGTCTTGTATTGTCTGCAAACTTGGTGAGGGTGCACTCTGTCCTGTTGTCCATGTCATTAACATGGTCTCTACGGGTTCTTTATCAGAAGGCTTTTCCAAACACAGACTACCTGGACTCATAGAATTGGCCTGACTGAAAGGGACTGTGAGATGCGGGGTGAGCATCAGTGCTTGATCATATTGCTCAGGGTATTGTCCTGTTGAAATTTGTGCTGTCTCGGAGGATGGAAATTCCACCACCACTCTGGGCAGTCAGAAAGTGAAGAAGCATAATGTCTTGGTATTTATAAGCAATCTAAAAGCGTAAACATATTGTCAGGGAATAAAAGTGTATTTTTCTGGTTGTGCCTTTCAGTGATGCAGAGAAGGTTGTGCTTGCTTGTTCCCAGGGAGTAGGAGAGGGTTATATGTAAGTGGCAATGGCACTTTAATCAGGTCTACTAAAACGCAGCTGTGGTTTTCAAGGTCTGAATCAAACCATGTTTCAGAATAATTGTTGTCTACCTGACTGCAAATCTGCAGTAGTGAGCAGAATACCTTGTAGAATTGGAGCAGTGAAAAACCTTCTGACTAGGGAGCATCTACAGTTGCACTTTAGTTTGGATCAGCAGTGAATCTCTTGATTGCACTCTTCTGCCACAGTTTGGCTTGGTTTATGCATTTGGGTGAGTCCAAACTGCAAAATATACACTGACATATACAGGCATTCAGTTCATGAGACCACGCAAGCACGAGTCTTAAGTAGCACTCTTAAAAAGCATACCATGCTGCCAAACTAATTTTTGGATACATTTGTAAAGTGAAATGTCTTACATTTCCCATCCTTAAATGTGCTTTCTTTAGGTAAGCTGCCAGAGCAGGGCACATGGACCAGATGTTATGCAAAATATGTGCTTGTGTTGACTTTTGCATGGGTTCTTTGAATAGATGTAACATTACAGTGAACAGCCCGGTGAACTCCTGGTTTTGCTTTTATACACAGGGACTTTACTGATGGTGGACAGTGAGGAAGAATATTTTCCGGAAGAGATCACCAAGCTGAGGAGGGATGTTGATAACGGACTTTCACTTATAGTGTTTAGTGACTGGTACAACACATCTGTGATGAGAAAAGTCAAGTTTTATGATGAAAACACAAGGTACTGATTTCTCTCAGTTCTGTGGGAAATAAAATGGCATAGGATTGGCATTTTATGCACGTATTACTCTAAAAAATGTAGGTTGCTGTACTTGTGCTTGCATGCTACCTGTAAAAAGGGACTACCTGAAGAGCAAAATTGATGTTAAGCTGCATCGTAAGGAGAATAGCTACCTGTTTTATCCTTATTGCAAAGGCCCCCATTGTAATATAATCTTTTAAAGCCCAGAGAAACATTTACAATGAAAAGAAATAAGAAATTGGAGACTGAGAAACAAAGAAAAATGGATAAGTTTTCACTTCGGGGGAGCAGAATAGAAAGAAAATGTGGATTGTAAACAGAATCACCAGACTGTGCACGCATTATTGAACATTCCAGTGTATTGTATAAAGAGAAAATACACTCATATCATCAATGGTGATAAAGACCCTCATAATTACTGTAGTTGTCAGGCTGGTTTGTGTTACTGTTAAGCTAGAAAGATATGTTCTGCACTTTGTGAGCAAGTAACATTTTGCTTCATTAGAAAAATAGGAAGCAATTGACACAACCATTGTTTTTGCCTCATCTTAGCTAACAAAAAGCCTAATTGAATTTCTTTCTAACAAATTGAAGTTTTCCATAGAACTGAAATGCACTGAGAATTTTACATTAGTATTACTTAACTTTTGCTCAGAAGCATTGGTGTCAAAGCGAGACAGCTGCTCACATGTCCCTGGAGTTGTATCAGGCACGTGTGAGCTACATCCCTTTGAGATGTAGTTCATTATTTAAGTGACTGGAAAAATCTGCATCACACGTGACTTTTCATTATGCAAACTCTAGGAGCATATTCTGTATACTGTTAAACTGTGTTACACTGTAATTTTTACAGGCAGTGGTGGATGCCTGATACTGGAGGTGCTAATATACCAGCTCTCAATGATCTGCTTTCTGTCTGGAATATGGCCTTTAGTGATGGGCTCTATGAAGGCGATTTTACCATGGCAAATCATGAAAGTGAGTACTGGAGTCTGTTGCCTACACAGGCTACAGTGTGCTGTTTGGAAAATAGTTTTCTATGAGACTTGAGATTGAGCGAGAATCAAGGGAACCACTTAAGTTCAGTTAAAAGAGTCTCATGAGCATGCTTAAATGTTTACTTCCTTTGTAGATTGTATGTGAAAAATTTTCAAAGCCGATAATGAGTGTCCTCAGTTTAGGCTTGCATTCCAGGTGCTAATACTTTGAAGAGTCTTGTTGGGGTGTGTCTGTATTTGCCTAGACTATAAATACTAGTTGCTAAGATAAAGCTTTTGGTTTTAATTTTGCAGTTATGTGGAAATTCGAAATTTTGGAGGGAGAAAATCGATAGGGACTTTTTCCTTGGAATACACCGATTTAGACACGCATCGCAACATCCTGAGACGTTTCTAAGTTCCTGTTATCTTTTGAATTGCTCCCCTTGAAATGAATATATTTGATTGGTTTCAAGTTCAAGCTTTGTGGTTAAGCCACATGTCGGTGTGACCTTACTGTTTTCTGACTTTCTAGGTCTAGTCAGTCTTTTTTTTTTTTTATCTAACCAAGTCACTCGATGTTTTCATGCTTTGTTTCCAAATCTCTGTCTTCTGGCTGGTTCATTTGGAAAGTGTATGTGAAAAGAGAAGGCACCAGTGTTGAGGGCTCTATATGCTCACCAGTGTTGACTGAAGGAGACGGGTTCTCTGTAGTATAAATAATGACTTAGTGTGAAATACTGCGTTTCTCGTGGCATTTGATTAAGCTTTGCAGTTTAAAAAGATAATGTCAGGTCTCCTAAGTGGAAAGATTTGAAAGGAGTATGTAAAGGTGAATCTGCAAAAGCTGTCCTTAGAAATGCCATCTCACTGAATACACTTATTGGTCAAAGTACGCAAATTCAGAGCAGTGTTCCCGGGAATGTTTTCTTCTGTGCTTCTTTTAACAGCTTGCTGACATATGGTGGGAAGGGAGGGAGTGTCAATTTTAGCCTAAACTGCAATTTTGTGATGTCTTTCAGTGAATTATGCATCAGGATGCAGTATTGCCAAATTTCCAGAAGATGGCATCGTCATTGCACAGACCTTTAAGGATCAAGGTATGTGCTTGCTTGTCTTTTTTCTGTGTTTTAAGGAGAAGTTTGGAGTCGGTGCACAAGCAATTACAAAGGGTAAAGGTGTAAAAACAATGAATTTAAAACCACATTGACGAGGTAGGTATTTTTTAATTTTGCCTAGCACATGTAGCTGGATGCCTAATAGGAAATATTACTCTGTATACAATTTTTATATAGTACAACAATATCCAGGTGTATATATGCAGTCTTGTATTGAGTTTGCTGTATGTAAACACATCTGCATGTACATGTGTTGTGCATCTTTGGAGGGGATTCTGTTGTAATTGTGTTACTTGTTTACATTTCTTACAGATTTCAGGTGCTACTGAAATATATTCCCTAATCACTGCCAAATTTGGTGTGAGTGTTATGGTAGCTGTGGTGATCTACAGATATAGGCAAGGAAAATTCTGGTAGACAAAATGTCACCTGCTAGACTCTCATAGGGAAAAATTTTAGGCACACAGGAAACATGCTCTCAGACTTGAGTGATCTGTTCTCTGTGCGTATCCATTTGCTTTAGTTTTATCATATCTTTTAATTTGTGAGGTGGTAATTCACAACTGTAATGGAAGCAGGCCATTTAAAAAAAAAATTAAAATCACGCGGTTTATGAGCCTTTAGGAAGTGCTGTGTAGGACTAAATGACCAGAGCTGTTAGCATGTTGTGGGTCAGGTCTGCGTATATTAGTACAGAGCGTTTCGGTGTGTGAGCAGAAGCACATGCATAGCTTCTGATATAACTCAGCAGCTGCCAGAGAAGATCAGCAAGTTCATTGTATTTTTTACTTATGATGCACAGTATCTAGTGGAAAAATTTTCTGGAACATTAAGGAGCTCATCCGTGTGAGCCTTTGGAGAAAAGACAATATCCCTGGAATGCTGTATTCTGGTGATGTAGGTATTTCTTTATGCATGTGTGTGTGTGAGAGAGAGTGTCAATTTGACAAGTAGCCTGCTAGACCTGCTTTTTCTGTTGAATACTTTTCGTTGCAGTTCATGAAGCAAAAGAGCTTTGTGTTTTGCTACTGCTATCTAAAGGCAGTGTCTCAAGTAAAGGAGATTAAATATTTAGCATTTGAAACTTGTCTTATTTTGTTTTTTTGAAATGGGTGTTAGAGGCAGGAAATCAATAAACTAAAGCCAGATTTCTCCACTTCATTTTAGTTCCTTCATGAATTTGGGTTGTTTCCCTCCTGCTGTTTATTAGCTTTCAGTTCACAGGAGTTAAAATGATTGGATGGATTTGTAAGATGGATTTGTAAGGTTGATAGCCAGGTGTCCTCTGGGTTTTGCTGCACATACCCATTCATACTGGGGAGGTTCCTGTGCTTTTTTCATCTTTTCTGTTCATCAGTTATCTCAGTTGTAATTGTAAATATCTTGCAAACATGTCTTTTAGGCTGACAGTTTATTATTTGGATACTGGCAGGGCTTTTGGAGGCAGGCCTTTAAATGAGATACCCCTTAAAAAATTACTCTTTACAGTAACAAGTAAGTGTTTCAGAAAAGGCTGAGAAGCAGATCTCTGAACCATGGCAGGGCTGGATGTACTGAAAACTGGCTCTGCCTGCTGGTTCAAAGAGCAGGTGGGGTGAGGAGGGAGCAAAATTTGCCAAAGGTGGGGGAAGGTGAAAGTTAGGATGGAAGGTGAAAAAACTCATGTGAGTTTCTTTTCTCTTTTCCTTTTTTTTTTTCTTTTTTCTTTTTTTCTTTTTTTTTTTTCTTTTTTGACTTAGGTACTTTTCTTTGTTCTGGAATTGAAAGTACATGGGTAACTAGTAACTGCAGAGTTGCAGAGAGATCCAAGCCCAGCAGTCTTTAAAATGGGCTTTCCCTGAATGGCTGCTTTAAAAGTTAAATCAAAGCCTTTGTCTTGCAGCTATTGCTTACAGAGAGACAGATGTTGTTTTGCACAGAATATCTTTATTCTGTTTTGTTAGTTGCGTAGTAGATTTTTTTGTAGCAATAGGTAGGCATGGCAGCAAAGTAAGTTGGCAAAGAGCAGTGTGCACTGTGATGGCTGATTCTCAAGTTACTGTGTCCTGTAGAATTCTACAGAAAAACTAAAATGACATAAAGTGATTTGTAAGGCAGAATGTTTTGATTTTAAACCTTTTGCTGAAAATACTATGTTTTTTCATTCAAGCGTGTTGAAAGATAATCCAGGTTGTGAGGTCTTTTTCTGCTTCTCCACCAAAGAAAGGAAAACTTAATATCATAACATCATGGGATTTTTGAAAGCATATTGCATAACTGTGTGACATGAAGAGTGACATAGCTGCATTTGTAAAGTTGCAAAGTAGGCTGTGTTGACTTACAGGTAAATTGATGTTGATGCTTTGCAGGCTATGAAATTTATTTGTGCTTTGCTTTAGGTCTTGAAGTTTTAAAACAAGAGACTGCTGTAATTGAAAATGTCCCTATTTTGGGACTTTACCAAGTTCCTTCTGAAGGTGGTGGCAGAATAGTTTTGTACGGCGACTCTAATTGCTTGGATGACAGCCATCGACAGAAAGGTGCGTAAGCTTTGACCCACAGGTTACTGTCTTAAGCTGACAGCTGTCCTGTGGGGTTTTTACAGCTCCCATTAGAAGTAGCTGTTACCTAGGGACTCTAAATATTCCTAACTGGAGATTAATCTCAGTTCTGCAGAGCTCTACTGAAAATGCTGTAAGTGCAGTTACAACAAAAGACTTCCACAAGCTTTGGGGGCTGGTTTTGGGGTAGGTTTCTTTGTGAAGGAGGCAGGGCTTTGGTGGGAGATTTTTGCTTCTTTGGGGTGTTTTTGTTTCCAGAAAGCACTAACAGTTACACATGCTTGATTGGAAGTTGTGAAGAAGCCATTAGGGATTGCTTTCACTTTTCCCCAGTTGCGTTTTCAGAACGTTTATATAGTACAGTGGTTTTTATCTTCTGAATTTGCTCATCAGCATGCCTTGTTCCCTTTGCAGTGCTTTCCATGAGGATTTATAGTAATGTTCAACATTTCAGTTGTGCATTACTATTTTCAGGTTATTCTACTTTGACACAAACCAGCTGGTGTACATATGTCAAAAAGTAGGAATTTCTGTTTGGGTTTTCTAAGCATTTGTTTGCAGCTCCAAATAGTCCAAATAGTAAGTATGAGAGCTATGTGTGCCTGCAGTTTCTGTGACTCCCGGAGAAGCCATTCACTCTGCCTACACACTGTGGTTGGTCCTTTTTTCTAGCACTTGGTCTGATCTGACTCTTCAGATTTTTAAGAGATTGACTAAGTTTTTCATTACATGTAAAGCCCAAACTGGTAGATCTGTGGCTCAAAAGGCAGAAGATAATCCAATATGTGAGGTCTTTTTCTGCATTTCCACTGAATTTGATGTTCAACCTGAATTTTCCTTTTGTGATGAAAAGTACATTTATAATTTTTTAAGATTTTGCCACTGACATTTTAACATATTAGATTATGTAATCCATCCCTTGCCTAATTTATTTAAGTTTAAAGTAACTTATTGCCTAAGGGAGCTCTCTGTGTAGCTCATTTCTTTCTTTTGCAAATATTTTCATTTTCTTTGAAAGCTGTTTTTTCCTTACATGTCTTTGGGTGGCTTCCAGTGAGTTGCTGTAACACCAACAGCAAGGTGCCTGTGTGCTTGCTGTAGGTTGAAAGCACGTAGCGTAAGAGAAGACACGTTGCTTTAAATTAAGTCATAGAAAATGAGGCTTTGTGACTCCACTAATGCTGTTAAATTCAATGTGACCTGTGAAGCAAGAAGTGTAAAGCTCTAAAGAAATCCTTTAAAATTAGCTTTTAAGTTGTGAACCAGGAACTGTGTCTCCTGCAGAGACATCGGTGGCTTTAACTGAGGTAAATTCCTAACATTTGTGAATATAAATCCTTAAAATCTGATTGACCTCTTTAAAAATCAAAGGTGAGGGTTTAAGGGACACCAGGATTATGAAGATTAATTCCCATTCCCAGCCAACTGTTCCTGAGGGTAGACATTCTGAGAAAAAATAGTTTGCTGTGTGGTGGAAGTAGCTGATAAGGAATTGTCCAACTCCTGCAGATGGAAGTTTTAGATAATTGTGATGTTAACTAGCTGGATCGCTTGTTTGTTAGGGGTAGCTCTGAATTAAGGTAGTAGTAATTCAGGAGAGAATCAAAGTGAGGGTTTGTGTGCTGTTGAAGTGCAAAGGAAAACTATGATCAAGTATATCGTGGCATTACTCCCCAGCCTGGTCTGTGCCACAGCAGCTGTTGGTACTGCTTTTGCTTTAGCTGGGATGTAGCCAGAACTTTTCCTCTTCATTTGTTTTTTGTTTTTTTTTAAGCTTGGAAAAGCAAATGAGCCATAACTTTCCGCTGAAAACATTGCCTTTTTCTTACTTTTCTTTGCAAGGTATTTATTTTGTCCTTTCAAAAAAATAGTTAGTTCTTCATTTCCCTCTTAAAAATGGTATCAGAAGCTCTGAGCTTCCTGTACTTCCACACCAAAAAATCTCATGATTTTATCAGGGATTTGGACAGCCTTGCACAACCTGAAATTCTCATATTTGAGACTAGTTGTTTTATGTCCTACTCCCCAAAAGAGCCTGGTACACACGAGAATATATTTTAAGACTGAACAGATTATTTTTGGTTTTGTGTATTGAGGGGGCAGGGTTGTGGGATGCATGTTGAAAGTGGCATCTTTCTGAAATTGGGCCTTGAACTTCAGGAGAAAAACAAGAGCCAAAAAAATTGATTGTACTTTGAAATGTTGTTACAGCCTTTGTAACCGAAAGATAACCCATTTGAAGTGTGGCATAATACATACCTTGTTTTTGGGGCTTCGGGCTCTGAAATCCACAGATTGCTTTTGGCTCCTGGATTCCCTCCTGCAGTACACTTCTTACGGAGTGATGCCGCCAAGTCTCAGCCATTCTGAAAACAGGCAGCGACCACCGTCAGGAGGAGGCTACTCTCTCCCCGAGCGGATGGAAGGTGAGAGCCTTAATTACCAAACAGTCTGCAACTGAGGGAGTGTCAGGGTGGAATTTGGGAGGACTCAGGCAGACCTCTTGAGTTGCATGCCAGTAAGGTTAGTTTGGTGTGAGCTCTACAGTGTTCTATGTTTTACTGGAAGAGAACAGTTACTGTAGGGATTTGTCATGATATAGTTGTGATTCAGCTAAAGAAAAATGTTCTGTTCATAGAGCAGGAGTTTTCAGACACGTAGTTCTGCTAGGGAACATTCTAGTTTCTAGCTACGGATCATGTATAAAGCATTCGGTCTTGTCTTACATGCTGCCAGCAAAACTTGGATTACCTACCATTGCAGATGCACAGTCTTATTGTTTTGTAAGGTACCTTTTGGTTTATCCTAACCAAGATTTAGCTACAAGTTGTCTTTACTGTAAAGAGCTCCTGGTTTCGCAGCAGTGTTCTTTAGCTGGAGGCGAATGTTGGTGACTTGCCCTTCCACTCTTCTGGTAACCCAGTCTGTCTCTGCTGTGAGTTGCAGGTAACCATTTGCATCGATACTCAAAGGTGCTTGAGGCTCACTTGGGAGACCCTAAACCTCGGTCCCTTCCTGCTTGTCCTCACCTGTCCTGGGCCAAACCACAGCCTTTGAATGAAACAGCACCCAGGTGAGTTACATATTTCTTATAGTTACACAAGAAGTCTCACTTGAGTTCAGCTGAAGAATTACTTGTTTCATCTGCTTCAGAAAGGGACACCTAGAATGCCTTTCCTAGAGAAATACCAGGTTGCAAAGAGGAAGTAATGATTAATGTCTCTTCAGTGAATAATTCTGACTCACCTTATAGCTACCCTATGAAACTGGGAGATTTTAAAAATAGTTTCACAAGTCATTTCACTGTTGTGATTGAGTGATCCCAGCTTAGAGTGAACAGTCTTGCTTAAATCCGTCCTCCCTGCATGCCTGTGAAATAGTTTTCTGAAGCAGCTTCTTGGACAGCTGCCTAACTTCCTTCTGTGAGGGACTTTATCAGTCACTTGAAGGAAAATGTGTCAGCATATAGCCCATACTTGTTTATGGAGCTGCTAATGGTTACTTTTGGTAGTCTGTGTGCAAGATAGTTGTTAGCAAATAGTTGCCAATCTAAGTGTGTCCCTGTGGTGTCTGAATATAACTTTGGAGGCCTGCAAACAGCAGAACCTACAGAATGGATTGGATTATAATTTGGGTCCAAACTAGTGAGTTACTTCTAGGTTCCAACTGTCACATTCTCCATATGTTTCTACAAAATTCTTGGCATTGCTGAAGTAAGTGGGCAGAAACTCCTGTCTTTAAATTTCTTCTAGCAACCTTTGGAAACATCAAAAGTTACTGTCAATTGACCTTGATAAAGTGGCTCTGCCCAGTTTTCGACAGAACCGACCCCAAGTGAGACCATTGTCCCCTGGAGAAAGCGGAGCATGGGACATTCCTGGAGGTAAATATTGAAAAGTTTGAAAGTTGCTGTTTTGCTTTGCTTTTTGTAGAAGCTTTGAAAAAAAACCCAAACAGGACACAGCCAGAAGAGAGACTTTTCAGTTGTGAAAAACATGCAAATAATAGTATGGCTGTGTTGTAAAAGGCTGACTGATGAAGCGAGAGAAATATTTTTGCATATGAATAGTTTATTCAGAAGAAAGCATGCGTGTCATACTGGGAGGAAGATTTTGGTGGGTGGTTTTGGGTTATTTGAGGTTTGTTCTGGTGCTGTTCAGACCCACGGGTGTCAGCAGCAGTCCCTGTCCCTGGGAGCTGTGGCTTGATACCTCCTGCTAATTAAAATGCCGTGTGTGAGTACACAGAAGCAGAGTCCAGAAGAGTTTATCAGAACGGTGCCTTGGACAAGGTGTTACAGTAACAAATGATGTAGAGCACTTGAAACAGCTTTCAGTCTAATCCTGGGCTGCTCTCCTGTACTAACTTGGCCCTCCAGGCCCAGCTGGAAGTTGTTTGAAAGTCTCATGCGTCCCCTTTCTCAGTCTGAGCTGCTAGACTAAAAGATGCATGTAAAAACAAAGGGTTTGGCTCAGTAGCTCATCCTCACCGTGTACGTGCATGGTCTCTGGAGCAGCACAAAATCGGTTTCCTCATCAGGATCTGGTGTGATTTACAGGGATTACTTAGTGGTAAAATTATGGTCAAGCATTTGCATCTCTCTTCTGATGCAGAACAGAAGATTGTTGTTGCAGGGGAAATCTGGGTTATACTTTCACGTGCCCAAATAGGGTCAAGGTGGAAATGCTGGTGCTTTTCTGTAACATTAGCATCCTGTCTTATTTTTGCTAATCGGTCTGCAGTTGTTAATCTTCCTGTCTGAAATGTAATCAGATTAAGAACTGTTTCATCTTTGAACAAGAGTTGCTGTTGGATCGTTTTGGTAGGTAGTGCTAACACTGCAAAGACATCGTAGCTCATGGGTCACTAGTTGCCTCCAACCCTCCTTGCCTTTCTAGGTATAATGCCCGGCCGGTACAACCAGGATGTAGGACAGACGATTCCGGTCTTTGCTTTTCTTGGTGCCATGGTGGTGCTGGCGTTCTTTGTGGTGCAGATCAACAAAGCGAAGAGCAGGCCAAAGAGACGGAAACCACGAGTGAAGCGACCGCAGCTTATGCAACAGGTTCATCCACCAAAGACGCCTTCTGTGTGAAAGCTCTCGCTTGCCAAAGATGACCTCCTTTGACTGGTTCCTTTCCTGGGCGAGCCATCGCTCCCAGTGAAGGTGCAGCAAACACGGCACTGATTGTACTAGTAATTCGTGCCTGACATCATCTCATAGTCTTTGGTTTCTGGAGAGGAAAAAAAAAAAAAAAAGGACTTTAGTTGATTGTACATAAAACTGCAGCTTTAAGCAGCCGAAGCCACCAAAGACTTGAATACTGTTCAAATGGCTGCTTAGTCACTACATATCCCAAGAGGGGGAAAACGGACCTTTTTTTTAAGCTGACCAAACTAAAATTTATTTGTTTAGAGGCTATTTTCTATATTTATTGTTGGGGAGGGCGGGGGGAAAAGTCACTTTAAGGACCTCTGCTAAGGAAAAACAAGTGCATTTTTTTGGATGGAATGCAATTTTCTAGAACGGTATTATGCTGAAGAGTGTAACATACACCATTAAAGGAGAGAGGGGGCGAGAGACACCAGTACAAATCAGTGAGACATACTCCTGTAGTTTATTTTTATAAAGTCAACTACCATGATGTTTTGTAATTTTTGGTCATGATTTCACCATTGTTGGTGAAGCAGATTTTCAATAAATGTTATCTATATGAAGCTGAGACAATGTGGTAGATGGCTTTTCTTTCCACTGCCAGTCGTAGAGAGCAAGTTGTTGAGTAGAGAAAATTTTCATGTCTCCCTTCTTCCCCCCATATCTGTATCCTTAACAGCAGGAGCTGTCCCAAGCTGCAGACCTTCCTTTGGAGCACTAACTGGGCATCCTACGAACGGCGCTCTCCCTGAGTGAGCGCAGAGTTTTGAACACCTTCAAAACTGCAGAAACAGTGAACAAGGAGAGGGCTCCCGAAGGGCTGAAAACAGTCGTGAGGGTGACACTCCCAACAGCAGTGTGGTGTGTCACAAAGCCAAAAGCCTTCTCTCCTTTGGTTTGTCCTGCTTAAAAGCCTGACAACTTGTTACAGGTTTAAATAAGGATGCAGGCAAAAGTTGCCCCATACCACATAGTGTCGGTTAAAGTTGCCGTCCTTGAAATTGCTTCTGTCTTTTGCAGTGAAGCTGCAGTGTTTTCCCTGACAGCTGCTTTGGTCACTGCTCGAAATAAGGGTACCTTATCCCAGGAGAAGCAGGGAGCTGGTGCAGCCTGTGTTGTTGAACGGAAGCAGTACCCAGGCAGGGAAGTGGTCTGTACCAGTACCAGCTAACAGCCCCGAGTGAGCTCTTGGGCAGCTTGTCAGCTCCTGCACAGCCCTGGGCATGGCTGGAGAGGGAGAAGGTGCCAAGGACGGTCCTGCTGGGCGGCCTGGCTGCACCCACCCACCCACCCTGTTAGGGGCTTGCGATCGTGGATGGTGGTGCTGGGCTTGGGAAGGGCACTGCAGGAGAACATTTCTCCATGTAGCCTGGGGCAAACCTTCCAGGAGGTGGCTGTGGGCAGTGCATGGGTGTCCTGCAGAAAGGATTGGGAAAACCCCTTTTCCCTAACCTGGAGAGTGATTGGCTTTCCCCAGCCTGCCTTTTCCCTTCTGAATATGAGGATGAGCTGGAAGAGGCCACATCGTGTTGTGGTGCCAGGGAAGGGACCGAGCTTTCACTTTGGAGCCATTAGCAGAAGCTTGTCAGGGCTGAGGAGATGGTCCCAAGGTTGGGCTGCATGTGCCATCCCAGTAGGGTGCCCTTTGCTCCTCCCTCTCCAGACATGCACCTATGCTGACAGGGAGGGGATCTCTCCATTTTACCTGTGGCATCAGGGTTCCTTGTAGGACCAGCCAGCAACAGCTCTGCAAGCTGTACTGGTTGTGAAAAAGCTGTCAGTAAAGGTGTAAAATCCCAAGGCCCAGACCTCAGAAGGGATTGCAGGTAGCAGAGCGTAATTGTAGTCAGTATTTTCATTTGTCCAAAATGAGGACTATCCATTTTCACCTTTATTATCTTTGAAGACAGTCAAAGGTACAATGTGGAAAATACATCAGCAGCCCTTTTTCCATCAAAAAGAAGGGAGGAAAGCACCTGCCTAGGGGACGCAGGAGCCGGTAAAGCTGCCAGTGCATGAGGACCCTCTAGTTACAGCTCACAGCCCAGGGCCTGGAGCACCCTGGTAAATGGGAGAAAGGGAGAAGAACAGGAGCAAGGGAACCCAGAGCCCCTGGACAGAGAAACTGCCAGGGGCTGCTGGGCTGGTGCGGGAGGTGGGCTGCGCCCCTTTGATTTGAGGCTCCCCTCGGAGCCTGGAAAGCTTCAGTACGGCTGCTCAGTCCGTGCTAATGAGGAGGCTCGTTCCTCTCCTCACAGCACTAATGAGTGATGACAGCTCCACCACAGCCTTGAAACCAGAGTCAAGCTGTATCAAAGCGCCAGTCCGAATTAAGAGCCTTTCCCAGTCGCTGGTATTTTACAGCCCAGTGGCCAATTTCTAAATCGTAGAGGCCAATTATTTCTGAAGCCTTTGGTGTGCAGCTAATGAAGGCCTGGAAGGGCCCTTCTAAATGGTTATAAGCCCTGTAGGCGGCAGAGATGTAATGGAGGTGGCAGGCACAATTAGCCATCCATAATTCCTCCTAGCAGCTGATTAAAGTCTCTTTATCCGTCTTACAGAGATCAGAAGGCCACATATTTGGGAAATCAAAAATGCATTAGGGGCTGTTGGGGGCCTGTGTGCTGAGCCCTGTGGCCACGGCATGAGCTGGGAGCAGCACAGACCTGCCGCGTGTCCCCCTGTGTGTATGGGATCAGCCCCTCATCCCCGTGGGGTGCAGCCTCATCCCTGTGGGGTGCAGCCTCGTCCCTGTGGGGTGCAGCCTCGTCCCTGTGGGTCCCCTGCAGCGTCAAGTCACCCCATCCTGTTATCCCGGCACCCCTTTTCCCTGTGAGGAGCAGGGAGTGGGATGGGGTGGCTCCTCGCTATGGTCTCCCGAGTGCAGGAGCACCCCAGTGGGCTTTTAGCTGCTGCAGAGCTACTGAGGGGTGCTGGCCTCATCCTGCCCCCAACGAATGGGGAAGCATCCACCAGCCAAACGCTCTGAAGGGCGCTCGCTACAGCCGCCTTCCCGCACCCTCCCTGCCCCGGGATGCTCCAAAATGCTCCGTGGTGGGAATTTCATGGATGAGGTGAACACTGCCGGAACGGGGAGCCGCCAGTCTCGCCCGGCTGTGCTGCTGGGGCTGCTGGTTTTCCCATGGTCTGCTCGCTCTTTGGCGCTCGGGGATGCCCACAGACAGCGGGACGCTGGTCCCCAGCCGGGCGATGCCTGAACCGAGTGCTGCCCGCGCTGGCCACGGGGCCTCCGGGGCGATGCCCGCTCCCCGAGCCGCGGTGGGATCGGGGGTGGGGT